ATTTATAAATTACACTGCATGGAGAATGCCATTATTTCTATCAGAAAAAATAAAGTAGATTATTTTTCCACGTGGAAACGGCAGGTTCGCTCAACCTTATTCATGGTTTCCTCATGCGTAAAGGTGGTGGAATTATGAGGGAATTAAGGGCTCTATTCATTGATTTGCTTTAGCTGACATCAGCATAGCAGTTGTTTTGGTGGAACTGTGTTAGAGCTGTCAAATCCACAAGTGGCTCCCTGCATTATACCTAAAGCGGACATTGCCATTGGCTGCACGGAGTCGCTTTAACAGAAATCCCCATGCATCCTTGTTTACACATTCGAACACTGGATTGTGAGATGTAATCTACATCTCAATTAGGATGATTAGAAACCCTCTTTATTTTGTTTAATGATTTTTCCATTTGAGCATAATTATTTCTACAACTTCTAACACAAGTGGGGCTGATGTGGCTTCGAGACAATGATCGCAAGAGCAGCTGCTCACCGATTTGGGCTCCAATGCAGTTCCACCTCTGCTATCGCCGGTTAACGCTTGAATCTAGGCCTTAGTCAAGGTCAGAATACAGCATATCTGTAGACACACCTCCACCCAACCTAGTCTCATAGGATTTCGTATTATTCTGTACCTAAATACGAGACACTCCATTTAGTATGATATGTTACGTTTCGTATGGTATGTATTAATTTGTGGATGTCCATCACCCATTTCGTATGATATGTTACGAATTACAATTCGTATTATCTATTATGAATTTGCAAAACGTACAATATGTTACATTTAGCTAGCTTGCTAACGTTAGCGAGGCTAGCAGTTAGGGTTAAGGTTACAGCTAAGTTTAGGAGTTAGGTTAAAGGGTTAAGGTTAGGGGAAGGGTTAGCTAAAAGGGTTGAGGTTAGGGGAAGAGTTAGCTAAAAGGGTTAGGGGAAGCATTAGCTACCATGCTAAGTAGTTGAAAAGTAGCTAAAATGTAGTAAGTAGTTGAAAAGTTGCTAATTAGCTAAAATGCTAATGATGAGATTCGAACTCGCAACCTTTAGGTTGCTAGACGTTTGCGTAATATATGTCCACCCAGACCAACCAGCCTACTTTCGTTTATGCCTTAAGTAACCATCTGTCTTATGTAACCATACCAAACTTAACATATCATACTAATTTTAGCATCCCGGATTTATGTTTACTATGTTACGTCTAGTCTATGAGACCAGGCTGCACCGCTACACCTTAATCTCTTTGATCTCCACCCCAAATGAAAAGAGGGTGAATAGCATCCTATTCTCGTGCCTAAATTCAAGGTCAGAATACGGGTAGAGAGAAACGTGCATATAGAGAATTACGTTCTATTTACGCGCGCTTAACGCAGGTCGGAAGTTATTATTGCCTCTTAACACAGTCCATCTGACACCATCACATCAGATTAATAAACAGTTGTTTGAAATAACACATAATGTCATAGTAAGGCAGCTAGGCTAATCCTTAACAATCAACCCAAGGTATGATCTGTCCTCAACAATAATGGAAATAAGTAATCTCCCAAGAAAAAAATACACTACAATATAGAAAGAAGTATAGTAATGAGAAAATATTAAATGTATTGGACTCGTTGAGTGAAGGCAGCTGTCCTTGACACTATTCATAAGAAGAAAAAAAGATATACTAACTAAAATGTAAACTGGCGTTTCAACCATAGTTCTTATTGTTCATGGAGTTTTTGACAGTATTAACCATCTGCGTAATTGTTGTGCAAGTCATAAAATAAAGTGTTTAAAAAAAAATACAATAACCGTCACATGGTGTTCATTGTCTAACCCTCTCTTGAAACCCTCCCCCTTCACCAAAATATGATCAGGAGGCTTTGTGTTGGGTCTGTATTACTTTGTTGGTTACAGCAAGTAGAGATGACCACGACGTCTAGTTCAACTTTGTTGTTCCGCCATTTGCTATGATAGAATGACCTTTCGGCAGGCCCCTGATGAACCGTTTAGAAACAATATGTGCTGGAAGAAGACAAAAGGGTGGCTTGAAGAAACGGATCCATTTTAGACACTGGATTATGGATTCCCGGAGACAGCGATGCGACTCTATGGAGTTATGGAATAATCCCTGTGGAGAATTGGTTATTCCAATTGATTTTCATGTTCTAATCCCGTCTAAGACTCCAAAAGAAATGCGCCTTTTCAGGGGAAAATAGGTCAAGTGTCCAGACACCGTCTTGACCAGCAGCTGTATCCATACCTTAATTTGCATTTTTGACCTTTAATAATTACATGCCCAATTATCCCTGGTTTGGTGGCCTAGTTTGCATGGGCGGTCCTACATTGAATGGAAGGAAAAGCTGATTGTTTATTCAGAGGCTATAATGAGTTGACTCAGTAAGATCCATTGAAACACAATGGATGCATATTTATCAATATCAAAAGGCACACCTTATTGGTAATTGGTGCCTCATGTCAAGTCAAAGAAATCTCTTTAGAAACCAGACCTAACAATTTTATGTTAAGGAAAGCAATTTAGATAGATTACCAACATTATCTTAAATGAAAATACGATTTACATTTTCTTAACAGTATTTTGTGTTCTTTAAACATTTTCCCACAACCATGTAAAGTGTTAGCAAATTATTTAATAAGTAAATGACGATTGAGTCCTTAAACTTTGAAATGAAAGGATGTTAAAAGCTGCTCCACAATAATAGACATGAGCTGAAAATGAACCCGATTCAAGATGAAAATAGTTTTTAGATAAATGTTGAATGTAGTCACAACCTTCCATGTTCTGTAGGTACTTGAGAATGAATGACACCATTAAATCAATTTAATCACAAAGCCACAGAAGACTTCCACACGGATCACTTCCCTTTTATTTTTCTATGAAATACAAAAAAGGTGGGAAAACTGCAAAGGGTTTTCAATTTTACAGGAAAACCACAATATACTCTGCCGTATTATAATCTCTGAGCAGTGGTTAAAATAAAAATATACACTCAGTGGCCAGTTTTAGGTACACCACCCCGTTCACAAAAATGGTTAGCTTCTACAGACAGTGAGTCACGTGGCCTTGGCTTGCTGTATAAAGCAGACAGGCATTCAGTTCCTGTTCGATTGAACGTTAGAATGGGCAAAACAAGTGACCTAAGCAACTTTGAGCGTGGTATGATCGCTGGTGCCAGGCGCGCCGGTTCCAGTATCTCAGAAATGGCCGGCCTCCTGGGCTTTTCATACAACACAGTGTCTAGGGTTCACAGAAAATCCAGTCAGAGGCAGTCCTGTAGGCGAAAACAGCTCGTTGATGAGAGGTCGAAGGAGAATGGCAAAAATCGCACAAACCAACAAGCGGGCCACAAACTGGCAAATAACAGTGGTGTGCAGAACGGCATCTCGGAACGCACAACTCGTCAGTCCTTGTCATGGATTGGCTATTGCAGCAGACGACCATCACAAACACTGGTCAATTGAGGAGTGGAAAAACATTGCCTGGTCCGACGAATCCCAGTTCCTGTTGTGTCATGCTGATGGCAGAATCAGGATTTGACGTAAGCAGCATGAGTCCATGGCCCCCATCCTGCCTGGTGTCAACGGTACAGGCGGGTGGTAGTGGTGTGGGGAATGTTTTCCTGGCACACGTTAGGTCCGTTGCTACCAATTGAGGGTTTGAACACCACACCTTGTGGAATCCATGCCCCGAAAAATTCTGGCTGTTTTGGAGACAAAGGGGAGTCCGACCCAGTACTAGTGGGTGTACCTAATAAACTGGCCACGGAGTGTCTATGTATACTTGTATATCTGTATCAATAGAATGGTCAATATAATCTATTTACTTGAAAATAGGTATTGACAACAATTAGACATCTCAATCTTACATTTCAACCATTTAATAAAGCAGAAACAATATGCTGCAGCACTGGAGACCATTTATGTCCAATCCGGAAAATAAATACACTTGGATATTTTACTCAACAAATAGTTTGGGATCTTTAAATAGGATTAAACATAAATAAATCTGTTTTGCTCTTAAATGTATCTGAACACAATTTAGAATGAGTTGTACACAAATACAGTAGATCGATTTAAAACTATTGCCTGAAAATGAGACATGGTAGGTTTTTGGGGGGTTTCAGTATGAGCTATGGTTGACCGGTGACGCAGGTCACTGTGTAAAAAAGTAAAAGATACAGTTTAAAAAGTGTTCAGAGGCTCTTGGTGAGTTACTACAACTACTTGTTCTTATGAGCAAGCTGTCCAGGCTACGGTATTATATTAGTGCTGTTCACTCGCAACTTATTCACTGGTCTGTTTCTGAGCATGCACTGTACACATTCACTTCTGATATTTCTAGCATTTTGATTGTCTGAGTGTTATCAACAATGATCAGATAACCAAATCAATATGTAAAGATCAGTGGAACTGTGCAGCAGCTGATCAACATCAGGACAAGCATACGTTATGGTCAAGGAAAGACGAGACCCTTTAGCTTAGCAGGTCTGCGCAGATTATAGGATCGTTATATCATGTTATAACGACACTCAGAGAGTTGTGGTTCTCCAGGTAAAGAATTGTACAGTCTTAATTAAAGAAGCAAAGTGCTTGGAAACTGTTCACCTACAACGTAACGGTTCTATTTGACATGTTGACACAATGTACATTAGATGCTTTTGAAACAAGCAGAAAGTCAGGGTGCATCTCAATAGCCTAAAGTGACTTCCCCTCCTCATATGCTGTCCTTCTGAGGATTTCTACCATATTGCCTTCACCCACCCTGCCTTCTCAGATCAGCACAGATGAAGGACAGGAGACAAACGGAGAAAGTAACTTGTGACTATTGAGATGCATCCCGTTTCTCTGTGGCCTGGTACCCAGCCACTGATTGGCTGTATTTCCTGTCTGTCTATCACATGGAGTTACGACTATTTCTCAATAGTCTAAAATAGCTTCCTTTCCTCATCTCCTTCCCTTTATCTGCACTGTTCTGAAGAATAAAATATATGTGGGGTCTTTCTTTGGATCAGTGCAGATGAAGGAGAGGACACCAGGAAAGGAAATCATTACACTATTGAGACGCAGCCGATGACTCATGAGTTCCTACTCTTGGATGGTGCTTTTCGAGGTGAACTGGAGGCCCTCCTCCTGCAGTCTTTTCAGAGCCGGTCCATAGATGTCCTTAGTCATTGGCACCACCAGTCCCTTCGTACGGATTTCTCCTGCAGATTGAAAGTCAGTTCACTTCACTTTCACATACAGTGAGGGAAAAAAGTATTTGATCCCCTGCTGATTTTGTACGTTTGCCCACTGACAAAGAAATGATCAGTCTATAATTTTAATGGTAGGTTTATTTGAACAGTGAGAGACAGAATAACAACAACAAAATCCAGAAAAACGCATGTCAAAAATGTTATAAATTGATTTGCATTTTAATGAGGGAAATAAGTATTTGACCCCCTCTCAATCAGAAAGATTTCTGGCTCCCAGGTGTCTTTTATACAGGTAACGAGCTGAGATTAGGAGCACACTCTTAAAGGGAGTGCTCCTAATCTCAGCTTGTTACCTGTATAAAAAGACACGTGTCCACAGAAGCAATCAATCAGATTCCAAACTCTCCACCATGGCCAAGACCACAGAGCTCTCCAAGGATGTCAGGGACAAGATTGTAGACCTACACAAGGCTGGAATGGGCTACAAGACCATCACCAAGCAGCTTGGTGAGAAGGTGACAACAGTTGGTGCGATTATTCGCAAATGGAAGAAACACAAAATAACTGTCAATCTCCCTCGGCCTGGGGCTCCATGCAAGATCTCACCTCGTGGAGTTGCAATGATCATGAGAACGGTGAGGAATCAGCCCAGAACTACACGGGAGGATCTTGTCAATGATCTCAAGGCAGCTGGGACCATAGTCACCAAGAAAACAATTGGTAACACACTACGCCGTGAAGGACTGAAATCCTGCAGCGCCCACAAGGTCCCCCTGCTCAAGAAAGCACATATACAGGGCTGTCTGAAGTTTGCCAATTAACATCTGAATGATTCAGAGGAGAACTGGGTGAAAGTGTTGTGGTCAGATGAGACCAAAATCGAGCTCTTTGGCATCAACTCAACGTGTTTGGAGGAGGAGGAATGCTGCCTATGACCCCAAGAACACCATCCCCACCGTCAAACATGGAGGTGGAAACATTATGCTTTGGGGGTGTTTTTCTGCTAAGGGGACAGGACAACTTCACAGCATCAAAGGGACGATGGACGGGGCCATGTACCATCAAATCTTGGGTGAGAACCTCCTTCCCTCAGCCATGGCATTGAAAATGGGTCGTGGATGGGTATTCCAGCATGACAATGACCCAAAACACACGGCCAAGGCAACAAAGGAGTGGCTCAAGAAGAAGCACATTAAGGTCCTGAAGTGGCCTAGCCAGTCTCCAGACCTTTATCCCATAGAACATCTGTGGAGGGAGCTGAAGGTTTGAGTTGCCAAACGTCAGCCTCGAAACCTTAATGACTTGGAGAAGATCTGCAAAGAGGAGTGGAACAAAATCCCTCCTGAGATGTGTGCAAACCTGGTGGCCAACTACAAGAAACATCTGACCTCTGTGATTGCCAACAAGGATTTGCCACCAAGTACTAAGTCATGTTTTGCAGAGGGGTCAAATACTTATTTCCCTCATTAAAATGCTAATCAATTTATAACATTTTTGACATGCATTTTTCTGGATTTTTTTGTTGTTATTCTGTCTCTCACTGTTCAAATAAACCTACCATTAAAATTATAGACTCATCATGTCTTTGTCAGTGGGCAAACGTTCAAAATCAGCAGGGGATCAAATACTTTTTCCCTCACTGTACATGTTAGGGTTGTACATTCATCTTTAGCAAAATGACAGGTTCCCTGGCGGTGGAATAAGTGTGTCATTCTCAGTAAAGCCTAATCAACAACTCAGGCATGATAAATGCAATAAGAACTCAAGGCTACACTACTGACCGTCCAGCACCATGCGAGCAGCGATGGCAGCAGGGTAGCCCACGGTCTTGGCCATGGCAGAGTAGCCGTCGGGGTCTCCGTAGACCACCAGGCTGATGTGCTTGGTCTCCAGCTCGCCTGTGGAGTGGCGCAGGCCCACGTCGTTCCTCATGATAATCATGTCCCGCTCGCCTTTATCTAAAGGAGAGGATAAAGGACACAGAGGGACCGAGAAGGAGAGAGAAGGTTATACTTAAAATAAAATCTTTACTGCCCTTTTCTGTATAAAGAGGAATAGAATGAGTAGGGAGAAAGAGTTACTATGGCAGCGTTTACACAGGCAGCCCAATTCTGATATTTTTTCCACTAATTGGTCTTTTGACAAATCACATCAGATCTTTCACAAATCACATCTTTCTCAGAGCTGATCTGATTGGTCAAGAGACCAATTAGTGAAAGAAATATCAAAATTGGGCTGCCTGTGTAAACGCAGCCATATTGGGGTTTGTGAGAGCAAAGTAGTAGTAGTAGAGAGATTTCTTCTGCCCCTCTTACCAAAGGAGAGCCTGGACTCCAAGTGCTTAGCCAGTGAAGCCAGTACGGTCTCTGCATGGGGAACAGCCTCCTTACTCAGCATCCCAAACCTGAACACACACACAATTAAGATATATATGGCAAAGATATGAGTACAAAGTCCATGCAACTAACTTATCAGGCGGTAAAGGAGGGGCTATACCAACATGCGTATACTTATTGAATCTTTCTATATCTACATGAAGTATCTAGGGGAGTAGGGGCTGATAAGTACCTGGGGGGGTAAGGGATGTGTAGTATCTAGGGGAGTAGGAGCTGATAAGTATCTAGGGGAGTCGGGGCTGATAAGTACCTAGGGGAGTCGGGGCTGATAAGTACCTGGGGGGGTAAGGGATGTGTAGTACCTAGGGGAGTAGGAGCTGATAAGTATCTAGGGGAGTAGGGGCTGATAAGTACCTGGGGGGGTAAGGGATGTGTAGTATCTAGGGGAGTTGGGGCTGATAAGTACGTAGGGGGGTAAGGGATGTGTAGTACCTAGGGGAGTAGGAGCTGATAAGTATCTAGGGGAGTAGGGGCTGATAAGTACCTGGGGGGGTAAGGGATGTGTAGTATCTAGGGGAGTAGGGGCTGATAAGTACCTGGGGGGGTAAGGGATGTGTAGTATCTAGGGGAGTAGGGGCTGATAAGTACCTAGGGGGGTAAGGGATGTGTAGTATCTATGGGAGTAGGGGCTGATAAGTATCTAGGGGGGTAAGGGATGTGTAGTACCTAGGGGAGTAGGGGCTGATAAGTATCTAGGGGAGTTGGGGCTGATAAGTACCTGGGGGGGTAAGGGATGTGTAGTATCTAGGGGAGTAGGAGCTGATAAGTATCTAGGGGAGTCGGGGCTGATAAGTACCTAGGGGAGTCGGGGCTGATAAGTACCTGGGGGGGTAAGGGATGTGTAGTACCTAGGGGAGTAGGAGCTGATAAGTATCTAGGGGAGTAGGGGCTGATAAGTACCTGGGGGGGGTAAGGGATGTGTAGTATCTAGGGGAGTTGGGGCTGATAAGTACGTAGGGGGGTAAGGGATGTGTAGTACCTAGGGGAGTAGGAGCTGATAAGTATCTAGGGGAGTAGGGGCTGATAAGTACCTGGGGGGGTAAGGGATGTGTAGTATCTAGGGGAGTAGGGGCTGATAAGTACCTGGGGGGGTAAGGGATGTGTAGTATCTAGGGGAGTAGGGGCTGATAAGTACCTGGGGGGGTAAGGGATGTGTAGTATCTATGGGAGTAGGGGCTGATAAGTACCTAGGGGGGTAAGGGATGTGTAGTACCTAGGGGAGTAGGGGCTGATAAGTACCTAGGGGGGGTAAGGGATGTGTAGTACCTAGGGGAGTAGGAGCTGATAAGTATTTAGGGGAGTAGGGGCTGATAAGTACCTGGGGGGGTAAGGGATGTGTAGTATCTAGGGGAGTAGGGGCTGATAAGTACCTGGGGGGGTAAGGGATGTGTAGTATCTAGGGGAGTAGGGGCTGATAAGTACCTGGGGGGTAAGGGATGTGTAGTATCTATGGGAGTAGGGGCTGATAAGTACCTAGGGGGGTAAGGGATGTGTAGTACCTAGGGGAGTAGGAGCTGATAAGTATCTAGGGGAGTTGGGGCTGATAAGTATCTAGGGGAGTAGGGGCTGATAAGTATCTAGGGGAGTAGGGGCTGATAAGTACCTGGGGGGGTAAGGGATGTGTAGTATCTAGGGGAGTAGGAGCTGATAAGTACCTAGGGGAGTCGGGCTGATAAGTATCTAGGGGAGTAGGGGCTGATAAGTACCTAGGGGAGTAGGGGCTGATAAGTATCTAGGGGAGTAGGGGCTGATAAGTATCTAGGGGAGTTGGGGCTGATAAGTACGTAGGGGGGTAAGGGATGTGTAGTATCTATGGGAGTAGGAGCTGATAAGTATCTAGGGGAGTTGGGGCTGATAAGTACCTGGGGGGGTAAGGGATGTGTAGTATCTAGGGGAGTAGGAGCTGATAAGTACCTAGGGGGGGTAAGGGATGTGTAGTACCTAGGGGAGTAGGGGCTGATAAGTATCTAGGGGGGGTAAGGGATGTGTAGTACCTAGGGGAGTAGGGGCTGATAAGTATCTAGGGGAGTCGGGGCTGATAAGTACCTAGGGGGGGTAAGGGATGTGTAGTATCTAGGGGAGTAGGGGCTGATAAGTATCTAGGGGAGTCGGGGCTGATAAGTACCTAGGGGGGTTAAGGGATGTGTAGTACCTAGGGGAGTAGGGGCTGATAAGTATCTAGGGGAGTAGGGGCTGATAAATATCTAGGGGAGTAGGGGCTGATAAATATCTAGGGGAGTAGGGGCTGATAAGTACCTAGGGGGGTAAGGGCTGATACACTATATATACAAAAGTATGTGGACACCCCTTCAAATTAGTGGATTCAGCTATTTCAACCACACCCATTGCTGACAGGTGTATAAAATAGAGCACACAGCCATACAATCTCCATAGACAAACATTGGCAGTAGAATGGCCTTACTGAAGAGCTCAGCCGCGAAGTGGTAGGCCACACAAGCTCACAGAATGGGACCGGCGAGAGCTGAAGCGCGTAACAATCGTCTGCAACACTCACTATCGAGTTCCAAACTGCCTATGGAAGCAGCGTCAGCACAATAACTGTTCGTCGTAAGCTTCATGAAAGGGGTTTCCATGGCCGAGCAGTCGCATACAAGCCTAAGATCACCATGTGCAATGCCAAGCGTCGGCTGGAGTGGTGTAAAGCTCGCCACCATAGGACTCTGGAACAGTGGAAACGCATTCTCTGGAGTGACAACTCACACTTCACCATCTGGCAGGAGAAAGCTACCTGCCCCAATGCATAGTGCCAACTGTAAAGTTCGGTGGAGGAGGAATAATGGTCTGGGGCTGTTTTTCATGGTTCGGGCTAGGCCCCTTAGTTCCAGTGAAGTGAAATCTTCAAGCTACAGCATTCAATGACATTCTAGAAGATTCTGTGCTTCCAACTTTGTGGCAACAGTTTGGGGAAGGCCCTTTCCTGTTTCAACATGACAATGTCCCCGTGCACAAACCATACAGAAATGGTTTGTCGAGATCGGTGTGGAAGAACTTGACAGGCCTGTACCGAGCCCTGACCTCAATCCCATCGAACACCTTTGGGATGAATTGGAACGCCAACTGCGAGCCAGCCTAATCGCCCAACATCAGTGACCGACCTCACTAATGCTCTTGTGGCTGAATGGAAGCAAGTTCCAACATCTAGTGGAAAGCCTTCCCAGAAGAGTGGAGGCTGTTATAGCAGCAAAGGGGGACCAACTCCATATTAATGCCCACCATTTTAGAATGAGATGTTCGACAAGCAGGTGTCCACATACTGTTGGTCATGTAGTGTAAGTATCTAGGGGGGGTAGGGGCTGATATGTATAGGGGGGGTAGGGACTGATAAGTATCTAGGGGGGTAGGGGATGTGTAGTACCTAGTGGGGTAGGGGATGTGTAGTACCTAGGGGGGTAGGGGATGTGTAGTACCTAGGGGGGTAGGGGATGTGTAGTACCCTAGGGGGGGTAGGGGATGTGTAGTACCTAGGGGGGGTAGGGGATGTGTAGTACCTAGGGGGGTAGGGGATGTGTAGTACCTAGGGGGGGTAGGGGATGTGTAGTACCTAGGGGGCAGGGGATGTGTAGTACTAGGGGGGTAGGGATGTGTAGTACCTAGGGGGGGTAGGGGATGTGTAGTACCTAGGGGGGGTAGGGGATGTGTAGTACCTAGGGGGGTAGGGGATTGTAGTACCTAGGGGGGTAGGGGATGTGTAGTACCTAGGGGGGGTAGGGGATGTGTAGTACCTAGGGGGTAGGGGATGTGTAGTACCTAGGGGGGGTAGGGGGATGTGTAGTTACTAGGGGGGGTCGGGGATGTGTAGTACCTAGGGGGGGTAGGGGATGTGTAGTACCTAGGGGGGGTAGGGGATGTGTAGACCTAGGGGGGTAGGGGATGTGTAGTACCTAGGGGGGTAGGGATGTGTAGTACCTAGGGGGGTAGGGGATGTGTAGTACCTAGGGGGGTAGGGGATGTGTAGTACCTAGGGTGGGTAGGGGATGTGTAGTACCTAGGGGGGGTAGGGGATGTGTAGTACCTAGGGGGTAGGGGATGTGTAGTACCTAGGGGGGGTAGGGGATGTGTAGTACCTAGGGGGGTAGGGATGTGTAGTACCTAGGGGGGGTAGGGGGATGTGTAGTACCTAGGGGGGTAGGGGATGTGTAGTACCTAGGGGGGTAGGGGATGTGTAGTACCTAGGGGGGTAGGGATGTGTTAGTACCTAGGGGGGTAGGGGATGTGTAGTACCCTAGGGGGGTAGGGATGTGTGTACCTAGGGGGGTAGGGGATGTGTAGTACCTAGGGGGTAGGGGATGTGTAGTACCTAGGGGGGTAGGGGATGTGTAGTACCTAGGGGGGTAGGGGATGTGTAGTACCTAGGGGGGTAGGGGATGTGTAGTACCTAGGGGGGTAGGGGATGTGTAGTACCTAGGGGGGTAGGGGATGTGTGACAATGTGGATTTCATGCATATACAGTGTATGGCTATGGTTAGGACATGGGCCTTACCATTTGAGTGTCTCCATCTTGAAATGGTCTTGGCCGATGCGGTCGTAAACGGCTCCCTCGAAGGCCTCCTCAGAGGTGGAGGTGGGCAGGCCAATCTGCTTACACAGCAGCTCTTTCTGTTGCACAGGGAAAATACAGAATATGGGTAAGGAATCGCACAAGAGGCATGAGCTGGTAATAAAGTTGTTATAAGCAGGATTCTCATTCTTACCCAGGAGACGGGAGCGGAGGTGTGCTTCAGCATGGGGCAGGGGTCAGTGTTGATTAGACCCAGCTTCACAAAGCCACTCATGGCCTTGGAGAAACCCTTGTGGACAAGACACATAATTAACTGACCATTGAATCAGATCAGATAATAGCAAAGTGACCCCAGTGTTGCTAGCAGCACCATGCTCCAACCCATTAAAACCACATTATTGTAGAGGTCAGTGGCAGTACCTACCTTGAAGCGGAGTGTTCCTCTGATGAGTGTGTGGGCTGACTCGATGCCGTATTGCTCTGAGTATTTGGTGCTGTCGCGGTTGGGGAAGCCCTCCAGGTTGAAGCCGGGCAGGAAGTCCATGGGAGCTGTGGATTCCATCAGAGTGCCGCCTGCTGGGATGCTCACCACCTGGGGGGAAACAGAGGATTAAGTTACCCCGAAGCACTGATCTAAGGTCAGCTTTGCATCACCGTCCCTTATGGTTCAGGTTAGGTTTTTGGGGAGGATATGCTGATCCTAGATGGCCACTGTACCTCGTTGTCCTTGAGGAAGATGGCAGGGCTGATGGTATTGAGGAGGACTCCATATGGACTCCAGCTGAATTTGTAGCGCAGAGGATTGTCTGAGCATTCTGGTGCAGGGAGTCCACCACAGAATGAACTGTATGACTCAATCTAAGGACACACACGTAAATGGTTTAAAAACACAATTTACACAGACATCTACCCAATGTTTTGTCAAGACAGTCATCTTTACGTCAAGATGGGGGGAAAAATGAACAAATCGAAAACACATGGTGTTTCAATCTGTTGGGCCCGCAATCAATAATGCTGCCAAGGAAACTGACAAGATGCCACTCATCCCTTCGACATACGCTCAATCGATCATTATGTGCACACCACACACACAACATCCGTATGTACAGGCCCCACAATCACCCAAACACTTCCTCTCAAACTCACAAATCACTCAAACATATAGATTCTGTCACAATCTTCCTCACACGTTTCACTCACAGTGCAGCCGTCCGCCTTGGCTTGGTCGATGCACTCCATAGCTAGCATGTGGTCGATGCCAGGGTCCAGGCCCATCTCATTCACTATGGTGATGCCAGCTTCCTCAGCACTGGAAGGAATCACACAGAAAAACACACTCAGCCACACCTGCCCCACGTGGAGCCAATACATTCCCTTGACTACTAGCTTATCCTGGCTAATGCCATGTCAAGCAATTAGGTCAAGTGTCTTGGTGCCTGCCTGTAGCTTACATTAAGTCAACTGTGTATGAAATAGCCCAAGGTTAGCATTAAGACAAGATAACACACATTTGACCATTAAATCTCCACTTGTACATAGATATGTTTTCCCCTAACCCCAGCCCTCTCGCTCCTACTTTAAAACCCAGAGGAATGTCCTCTTCTCCCCATACACTTCTCTCCTACCTCTGTTGGAGGTCCTTCATGGCTGGACTCAGGTAGCTGGCAGTCACCATGTTTACCTTCTTGTTGATGCAGTGTTTGGCGATGACAGGGTGATACCCGTACGGCAGCATACTGAGGGCATAAACAGCACATGTGACAATGACACACTCACCGCTCATTCACCACAGGTGTGTGTGTGTGTGTGTGTGTGTGTGTACCTAATGACTAGGTCATGGTCTTTGACCAGGGACTCCAGGTGGCCCTCCTGACTGGTGACATCCAGCATGACAGGGATGGTGTTGGGGTATTTCCCTGCCAGCTCCTCTGCCTGGGTCAAAAATACTGATGCTAAAACACAAGGAGACATGGATAACAGCTGTGAGAGAGATGGGAGGGGTGAAATATTTGAGTGAAATTACAATTTGAAACCAAATGTGCTGGGGCTTGAGCCCTGAGGCACCCTTTACAATTCATTAAGTAATTGGAGATGTACACACAATAGATTGTGTGCATCCAGTTAAACATTTAAATAATGAAATCATCATCAACTGGGTATTTGTGAATATAGTGGGAATAGTGCAACATTTCCTTTTCAGAGCCTTACCAACAGTGATTTGAGTTCCTGGGTCCCGGGTGAGGTACTCGATGACTGGGCCCGACACGTAACCTGAGCCCAGTAGTAGCACTCGCTTCATTCCACTCCTCTTCGTGATCTTGGCTTGCTCTCTGAGGGGAGCACAGAATAAAGTCATCACAGACACAGAGTGTCTTTCTCACACATGCATAATGAGAAGCTGAATACAAGCAATCTTGCTCAGAATTATAACCAGTGATTTGCTTACCAAGCAGAGATGGGGATGTGGGTGGGCAATATAATTAATTTAATATAAATCGTCAACAGTTTTAATTGCATCCTCCTAAGAAATTACTACTTAACAACCAATGCCGGTGACAAAATCTTACAGGAGGGAGTTCCCCCACCCACATAACCCAGCAAATCACACACTAATAATGAAAGACTAAGATTTTTTGTGAAAACCCAAGCTGATGCACTGTGATGAAGTATATTAAATCAATCAAAACTAAATGAGATTCAATCAATGAAATGCGTTAAATTAAAAACAGGGTGATCTTCATATGCAGCAAATACTCATTAATTAACAAAATGGGATCCAATCACAGACATGAAATGTGATTTAAATTAAAACAAGGCGATTCCAATACTGGGCACCATACAGTCCAAAGGTCACCATGGCAGCCTCTTCTATCATACAGTGACCTGCAGAATCATCAGTTTACTCAGCAATATCCCCCCCAATTCACCCTCCCCCACCAATTCCCCAGGGAGTTGTCAGGGTCCAACCGGCAGCCTCAGCCTAATTGGATGTGACACTGTACATGTGCACAAGAGTACGTAGAGCTGGGCATGAGGTCCGGCAAGCCATCCATTGACAATGGAGGGGCTGGCTTCTTTAATTAAAAAAATAAGAGAGATGGGGGATTCCCCTCAGGAGCCTATTTGTCTCAAGTTTACATATGTTAAGAGCAATACCCAATCAGAGGGATTTGAAGACTTAAGATCCTGAGACATGGCTTGTCTAGAGAGGTGAAACTAAGGTCAACTCATCAACCAAATACAAAAACAAAAATCACTCAAAATGGTATGAAACGGAAGCCTTGTTCTTAGTATCATCGTTTCGAAGAAGGGATTGCCACCATTTCCAGTTGTACTCTCTCTCCAGGATTGACCATGCTTGAAGAGGGCTTGAACGTGGCGGCCTTTGAGTGATAATTTTGATCACAAAGTGCTCATCTGGGTCATGGTTCAGTCAGGATCAAACGGATGAAGGTTAAAGTATGTCAGTGTGAAAATAAACCATGAACACATTCAACCCATTTTCAGACCAGAGCAAACCATCTCTCTCTACATCTAGCTACTACTTAGGAAAACCTTGAAAGGGCACAATGCATGAATGCTGTAGTCTAGGAGAGCTTCTGAAGAAGAGCTACAATGTTTATGAAAGCAAAGTCTATGTGAACAAGGGAGATAAGAGTCCTCTTTTTGCATGCAGGTTTCTATTTGATTAGTGAACAAATCTTTTGGTTAAAAACAGAAATAATTCATTTTTGTAATTGAAGAAAATGTTTGAGGTTAGCCTACACCAGGAAAAGATACATATATATTAACGGAATGGGAGTAAATGAAATGAGAAAATAATTTTGCATTGAAAACATTGACGTTATTATGATTGATGGTGGAAGATTTTCAAATTTCGCAACAGAGGGAACAACGATGAACGAAAAAGGTATGATTTTCTTGTTCGCATGCCAAAATGAAGGGACAGGACACTGCGAGATGGGACAGAGGGTGGTGGTGTTTTAGAATGAGAAAAGACTTGTCTACCCACGAAAGAGCCCCTCAGTGAGAGAGAAAACTCCTGCGTCTCAGTAGAAGTGGAGGCAGCGGCGATGGCATGTTAGCCATGCAAGGTGTTAGAGCGGGGTAGACTGGCACACACCAGCACACCGTGAGCGCACTGTGCAAGGACGGAACAACAAGGTGAGGGTTAGTGGAGACTCCGGCAGACAGCACCTGATGAGCTGTAGTGAATTGCCCTGAGTCTGGGGCAAGATAGAGCTCCCCCTGCTGGGTGGAGGATAGTACACATTACACCCTAAAGCCTGAGCTCAACTAGACAATGAGGAAGGGGAAAAGTTACAAATAATAAGCTATTAAGCAAATGTAGTCTATTGCTATGCTGTATCTGCTATGCTGCTCACTAGGTATGCTATGCTAATGTTATGCCATCTACAAACTGAGACTACAGTTTGTAGCAGGTGTCAAACTTGACTATTCGTCAAAATACTTGCCAACTACTGAATGTTTTACCTGTAAAGGAATCTTTAGAGATTTCTTCCTTAGATTGGCAGCGTTACCTCCATGATGTGACAGGCATATTTACCAAAGTAATTTCATCAGATTTATTTCTTGGAAAACACAAAGCCAACAACATGAAGCTTACCAAACTAGCATACAATTGTGCAGAAAATGCATTTTCAGATCAGTTATTACATAGACAACATAATTGCTGTTTAATTGTTATAACATTAAAGAAAGCACATTAAAACCTCAAGGGCTTCAACAGTAAAATCTATTTTGTTATAACAGTCACACTTAAAATCATCCTGAAAACGCACAAAAGAAATTAAACAAGAAAGCCATTCTCTAACCACTAGATATATTGACATGCAATCTTACCTTCGTTCACGAAGTTCTTCAATGTATTCAAACTTTGGGGTAAGCTTTCCTTCTGACGTTATCACAGCCTTCAATGGAGGAAAGATGTAAAAAAAAAAACAGTCCAATGTCGGTAAAAAAATGGTTTTATGTACAAATATGCCATAAATGACAAAAATCTGACAAAACAAGTCACTGTCTATTGCCCTACTACAGCACGTCACATGGCAACTGTAGTCCAAAAGTCAAATAAAAAAACATCCATCTGTATATAGATTGTAAACTTCAATGTGGTCTCCTGAAACCAACATACTTTAGCGAAAAACACACAATGCAGCCAACAATGAGATCTTGGTTAGCTATTATCGCATAGCAGTAGCAAATAATTTCATAACTAGTTTCACGTCAAGCTGCATCAAGGTTTCAAGTCCATAGCCTTTTCGTTCATGATGCAAAAATGATTGCGTAAGAGGGATTTGTGTGTGTGATACTCACGTCTCTAACTTGAGGTGAGAAGTCCTCTTCTTCAAGGGGTCTGGTGGCATCGGAGGGCAGCTGAAGAAGACAGAACCGGGAAGTACTTGTTAATTCTGAAAATAACAGAATTCCCACTAAGCGGCCATCACTGGCAAGCAGTGGTAGCTACAGTGCGGGGTCTTCACTAGTTACCACAGCCACAAAGTCTGAATTATGGCTAAACCCTGCCTATTTCTACAATTTCTTCTTAAAATCTGATTTTAAACGTAAACCCAACCCTAACGTTAACCACACTGCTAACCTTATGCCTAACCTTATATTAAGAGCAAAAAACAAATTTTTGTTTTCATGAATCTTTACGATATAGCCCATTTTGACTTTGTGGTAACTAGTGACAACCACAGTGCGGTAAGCTGGAACAGACAAACATAACCTGAGATTTTGTTGTGCGCTCGTATGGCTGCATTCCACATTTGGACAACCCTCTCCCCAAACAAACTAAACCGAAAACAAAAAAATGCTAATGGTGCAGTGCACCTTACCCCAGCATCTTACCATCTCCCAAATGTAGGGAAAAAGGCGGTCTCCGAAATACTCAGTGGCTTCAATGGGGAGCTGGGCAGGAAGGTTATCAATAGAGCACATGAGGATACCTGTGCCCTCCACACTGGAAAGACAAAGACACCATCAAAGAAGAGTAGACAATTTGCAAGGCCTGGTGGGAGTACATGTTATGTATGGGTGTTTGTACAAATGACTGTATATGAATGGACAAAGCCATCAATCACAGGACACCATTAATTCCTGTGTGAAGACTCAATAGCGCATTGAAGCCAAATGAAGTCTTAAGATGGAGTTTCATGCAGACATAACATGCAGTTTGAGCTGTTGCAGGCTAGCTCAGTGCTGCCCCATCTTACTGAGTAACAAGTTGAAGGCTGACCGGGGTACTGCAGGCTGCGATTGTTTAAAAAAAAAATATATATATATATATATATATACACTGCTCAAAAAAATAAAGGGAACACTTAAACAACACAATGTAACTCCAAGTCAATCACACTTCTGTGAAATCAAACTGTCCACTTAGGAAGCAACACTGATTGACAATAAATTTCACATGCTGTTGTGCAAATGAAATAGACAACAGGTGGAAATTATAGGCAATTAGCAAGACACCCCCAATAAAGGACTGGTTTTGCAGGTGGTGACCACAGACCACTTCTCAGTTCCTATGCTTCCTGGCTGATGTTTTGGTCACTTTTGAATGCTGGTGGTGCTTTCACTCTAGTGGTAGCATGAGACGGAGTCTACAACCCACACAAGTGGCTCAGGTAATGCAGCTCATCCAGGATGGCACATCAATGCGAGCTGTGGCAAGAAGGTTTGCTGTGTCTGTCAGCGTAGTGTCCAGAGCATGGAGGCGCTACCAGGAGACAGGCCAGTACATCAGGAGACGTGGAGGAGGCCGTAGGAGGGCAACAACCCAGCAGCAGGACTGCTGCCTCCGCCTTTGTGCAAGGAGGAGCAGGAGGAGCACTGCCAGAGCCCTGCAAAATGACCTCCGGCAGGCCACAAATGTGCATGTGTCTGCTCAAACGGTCAGAAACAGACTCCATGAGGGTGGTATGAGGGCCCGACGTCCACAGGTGGGGGTTGTGCTTACAGCCCAACACCGTGCAGGACGTTTGGCATTTGCCAGAGAACACCAAGATTGGCAAATTCGCCACTGGCGCCCTGTGCTCTTCACAGATGAAAGCAGGTTCACACTGAGCACATGTGACAGACGTGACAGAGTCTGGAGACGCCGTGGAGAACGTTCTGCTGCCTGCAACATCCTCCAGCATGACCGGTTTGGCGGCGGGTCAGTCATGGTGTGGGGTGTCATTTATTTGGGGGGGCCGCACAGCCCTCCATGTGCTCGCCAGAGGTAGCCTGACTGCCATTAGGTACCGAGATGAGATCCTCAGACCCCTTGTGAGACCATATGCTGGTGCGGTTGGCCCTGGGTTCCTCCTAATGCAACACAATGCTAGACCTCATGTGGCTGGAGTGTGTCAGCAGTTCCTGCAAGAGGAAGGCATTGATGCTATGGACTGGCCCGTCCGTTCCCCAGACCTGAATCCAATTGAGCACATCTGGGACATCATGTCTCGCTCCATCCACCAACGCCACGTTGCACCACAGACTGTCCAGGAGTTGGCGGATGCTTTAGTCCAGGTCTGGGAGGAGATCCCTCAGGAGACCATCCGCCACCTCATCAGGAGCATGCCCAGGCGTTGTAGGGAGGTCATACAGGCACGTGGAGGCCACACACACTACTGAGCCTCATTTTGACTTGTTTTAAGGACATTACATCAAAGTTGGATCAGCCTGTAGTGTGGTTTTCCACTTTAATTTTGAGGGTGACTCCAAATCCAGACCTCCATGGGTTGATAAATTTGATTTCATTGATAATTTTTGTGTGATTTTGTTGTCAGCACATTCAACTATGTAAAGAAAAAAGTATTTAATAAGATTATTTAATTCATTCATGTTATTTTAGTGTTCCCTTTCTTTTTTTGAGCAGTGTATAATAAAATCGGTTCAAGGACATACATCTGGTGTATTAGAAGCAATTATTAGTACCATGACAGTCTTCGAAACATTTTTATATTTACAAGAAGATTGCCATTTTCCCCTTCACTATAATGTACCGCGGTCGGCCTTGAACTTCCATGGCTTCAATGAGAGGGGGCAGTCGTTCTCCCCTGGTCTGTACCTGTCGTGGTCTATGTGCTGGTCCGCATCATACATACAGAAAGGCTTATCAATGGTGGTGCACTCAGTCATGAACTCAATGGAGCCCCCCATGTCGGCAGATATGTCACAGATTGCCAGAAGCCTGAGAAAAAGAAAGAAAGACAGGAAGTAATGAGGGAAGATAAGAAAAGTAGAGTCCATATCAGAGGTAGAGTCCATATCAGAGTGTTTATCAGCCAGTCGGGTCACGATGACTGCACTCCGCACTCTTTGGTTGAGTTCCCGTACAATGTAAACATTACTGAAGATAAGCGTGCGCTTCTGAATGCCATAGTCCCAGTCCAAATAGTGGGGGGGGGGGGGACGACGACTTACTTGTGTGGTAGCTCTGGCCATCCCTCCGTAGCGGCGGCAGAGGGCTTGACGTGCGTCAGGAGCCTCTGGGCATCCAGCCGCCTGAGGAGCCGCGGTGTCTGGGGGTCCCAGTAGATGCCGTTGATCAGGCACGTGGTGTAGGGCGCCACCTGAGGCCGGGAGGACAAAAAGCGGGCCGAGTCATTAGCGATGCAATTGCTTCCACTACTTCTCCCACAATGCCACTGCAACCACTATAATAATAATATGCCATTTAGCAGACGCTTTTATCCAAAGCGACTTACAGTCATGTGTGCATACATTTTACGTATGGGTGCTCCCGGGATCGAACCCACTACCCTGGCGTTACAGAGGACCATGGCTGCTGCTACAACTATAGCTGCTACCACAATGGCTGCTGCTACAACTATAGCTGCTACCACTATGGCTGCTGCTACAACTATAGCTGCTACCACAATGGCTGCTGCTACAACTATAGCTGCTACCACAATGGCTGCTGCTACAACTATAGCTGCTACCACAATGGCTGCTGCTACAACTATAGCTGCTACCACAATGGCTGCTGCTACAACTATAGCTGCTACCACAATGGCTGCTGCTACAACTATAGCTGCTACCACAATGGCTGCTGCTACAACTATAGCTGCTACCACAATGGCTGCTGCTACAACTATAGCTGCTACCACAATGGCTGCTGCTACAACTATAGCTGCTACCACAATGGCTGCTGCTGCTACTACAATGGCTGCTGCTACTGCCACTATGGCTTTTGCTGCTGCTACCACTATGGCTGCTGCTACCACTATGGCTGCTGCTACCACTATGGCTGCTGCTGCTGATACCACTATGGCTGCTGCTGCTGATACCACTATGGCTGCTGCTACCACTATGGCTGCTGCTGCTACCACTATGGCTGCTGCTACCACTATGGCTGCTGCTGCTGCTGATACCACTATGGCTGCTGCTACCACTATGGCTGCTGCTGCTGATACCACTATGGCTGCTGCTGCTGCTACCACTATGGCTGCTGCTGCTGCTACCACTATGGCTGCTGCTGCTGCTACCACTATGGCTGCTGCTGCTGATACCACTATGGCTGCTTCTGCTGATACCACTATGGCTGCTGCTGCTGCTACCACTATGGCTGCTGCTGCTGATACCACTATGGCTGCTTCTGCTGAAACCACTATGGCTGCTGCTGCTGATACCACTATGGCTGCTGCTGCTGATACCACTATGGCTGCTGCTGCTGCTACCACTATGGCTGCTGCTACCACTATGGCTGCTGCTGCTGCTGCTACCACTATGGCTGCTGCTACCACTATGGCTGCTGCTGCTGATACCGCTATGGCTGCTGCTGCTGATACCACTATGGCTGCTGCTGCTGATACCACTATGGCTGCTGCTACCACTATGGCTGCTGCTGCTACCACTGCTACCACTATGGCTGCTGCTGCTGATACCACTATGGCTGCTACTGCTGATACCACTATGGCTGCTGCTGCTGATACCACTATGGCTGCTGCTGCTGATACCACTATGGCTGCTGCTGCTGATACCACTATGGCTGCTGCTGCTGATACCACTATGTCTGCTGCTGCTACCACTGCTACCACTATGGCTGCTACCACTGCTACCACTATGGCTGCTGCTGCTGATACCACTATGGCTGCTGCTGCTACCACTATGGCTGCTGCTACCACTATGGCTGCTGCTGCCACTATGGCTGCTGCTGCTGCTGCTACCACTATGGCTGCTGCTGCTGATACCACTATGGCTGCTGCTGCTGATACCACTATGGCTGCTGCTGCTACCACTATGGCTGCTGCTACCACTATGGCTGCTGCTGCTGCTACCACTATGGCTGCTGCTGCTGATACCACTATGGCTGCTTCTGCTACTACCACTATGGCTGCTGCTACAACTATAGCTGCTGCTGCTACCACTGCTACCACTACTGCTGCTACCGCTGCTACCACTACTGTATCAACTTAAACCAATTCTACCACCACTGACAATTGGTCTTCGGTGTATCTGCAAATCATATTGACAAGACATCCACAAACCCAGTTCCACAACCTACCATCTACATAATCATATTTGACATCTCAGCTTGTACAGTGTGGTTGCCCACTGACAGACTGTAAGCCGCTATAATAATAATAATAATAATAATAATAATAATAATAAGTCATAGCCAATCAGCTCAGGCTTCAGAGGACAAAGCAGTGTGGCTGTGCCAAAGGACTCGCAGCTCCTGGCTGAGCAGCAGGAACAGGTGAACCGGCTGAACTGGTTGTGATAGTGGTAAAGGCAGACTCACGCTGGTTCTGAAGTGTGATGTGTACAGTTCCGGGTGATACTCGTACTCCAGGGGGTCATAAACACCATCACTCTTCCTCATCAGGTGGTGGTGACGACTCAGAACGGTGGCGTACACTCTGGACATGTCTAAAACCAGAGAGATGGAGATAGCAGTGTCACATGGTGAACATTAAACACAGAACACATACATTAATATGATAATACATATCCTTTCATGTATATTATATGCATTAAATGTTGAATATGCAAATGCACCCCATCAGAAATGGGGATGTAGTACCTCCAGTTTGAGACGCATCTTTTAGCTCATGAGGCTCCACGTATTCTACAGGAAGCTCATTGATGATATCTTGTGCACCCTACATTATAGGAGAAAGTAGTAGTTGAAGAGAAGGTATGCATTCCCATGTTGTAGAATTCACTTAGCACTCACCTTCCTAACACCTTTATCTATTTGTATGAACAGGTTGTGTTTGGTGATAGTTTAGACATAGTTTGTCTTGGGTTACACTAGGTCTACCTACCTTGGAGACGTTGCCTGTGCCGGTGAAGACAAACGTCACTGGGCCGATGGACTTGGGCATGAGGCCCATGGAGATCTCGTACCCACAATCCCTCACTGCCTGGATGGCCTGGCTGACGTTCCTGTAGTTGTGGGCCATACCGATGTGCTGTGACACAGGAAGTGATGTCAGAGGTCCAGTGGAGGAAGAGGAAATAGTTGAAGCATTGAAATTACATGGAATCCACTAGGTCAACTCCTTACCATAAAAGGAGTGTGGTGTCCCAACGCCAGAAAACGAAGTCCCAAACCATGCAAAATATTGATCATTCCTGTTAGAGAAGAACATAGGAAAAGTGAAACAAAGTAGGAACACTGCTTTGATAATAGATGTTGGACGAAAGGGCATTTGAAAATAGGGATACATACTTGAAAAATAAGTAAATTCAGCTAGTGTTTATATTTTATAAAACCCACTGAGACCAGGGTCTCATTTACAATGGTGCCCTGAGGACAGCAATACAACAATTCAAAATGTAGATTTACACTACCAGTCAAAAGTTTTAGAACACCTACTCATTCAAGTTTTTTTTTTTTTTTACTATTTTCTACATTGTATAATAATAGTGAAGACATCAAAACTATGAAATAACACATACGGAATCATGTAGTAACCAAAAAAGTGTTAAACAAATGAAAATATATTTTATATGAGATTCTTCAAATAGCCACCCGTTGCCTTGATGACAGCTTTGCACACTCTTGGCATATTCTCTCAACCAGCTTCATGAGGTAGTCACCTGGAATGCATTTCAATTAACAGGTGTGCCTTCTTAAAAGTTAATTTGTGTAATTTCTTTCCTTCTTAATGCGTTTGAGCCAATCAGTTGTGTTGTGACAAGGTAGGGGGGGGTATACAGAAGATAGCCTTATTTGGTAAAAGACCAAGTCCATATTATGGCAAGAACAGCTCAAATAAGAAAAGAGAAACGACAGTCCATCATTACTTTAAGACCTGAAGGTCAGTCAATACGGAACATTTCAAGAACTTTGAAAGTTTCTTCAAGTGCAGTCGCAAAAACCATCAAGCGCTACGATGAAACTGGCTCTCATGAGGACCGCCACAGGAATGGAACACCCAGAGTTACCTCTGCTGCAGAGGATAATTTCATTAGAGTTACCAGCCTCAGAAATTGCAGCCCAAATAAATGCTTCACAGAGTTCAAGTAACAGACACATCTCAACATCAACTGTTCAGAGGAGACTGTGTGAATCTGGTTGAATTGCTGCAAACCATTACTAAAGGACACCAATAAGAAGAGACCTGCTTGGGCCAAGAAACACGAGCAATGGACATTAGACCGTGGAAATCGGTCCTTTGGTCTGGAGTCCAAATTGGAGATCTTTGGTTCCAACCGCCGTGTCTTTGAGACGCAGTGTGGGTAAACGGATGATCTCTGCATGTATATTTCCCACCGTAAAGCATGGAGAAGGAGGTGTTATGGTGTGGGGGTGCTTTGCTGGTGACACTGTCTGTGATTTATTTAGAATTCAAGGCACACTTAACCACCATGGCTACCACAGCATTCTGCAGCGATACGCCATCGAATCTGGTTTGGGCTTAGTGGGACTATCATTTGTTTTTCAACAGGACAATGACCCAACACACCTCCAGGCTGTGTAAGGGCTATTTTACCAAGAAGGAGAGTGATGGAGTGCTGCATCAGATGACCTGGCCTCCACAATCCCCCGACCTCAACCAAATTGAGATGGTTTGGGATGAGTCAGACCGCAGAGTGAAGGAAAAGCAACCAACAAGTGCTCAGCATATGTGGGAACTCCTTCAAGACTGTTGGAAAAGCATTCCAGGTGAAGCTGGTTGAGAGAATGCCAAGAGTGCAAAGCTGTAATCAAGGCAAAGGGTGGTTATTTGAAGAATCTCAAATATAAAATATATTTTGATTTGTTTAACACTTTTTTGGTTACTACATGATTCCATGTGTCATTTCATAGTTTTGATATCTTCACTATTACTCTACAATGCAGAAAATAGTAAAAAATAAAGAAAAACCCTTGAATGAGTAGCTGTTCTATAACTTTTGACCGGTAGTGTACCTACAGTGCCTTGCAAAATTATTCATCCCCCTTGGCGTTTTTCCTATTTTGTTGCATTCTGTAATTTAAATGGATTTTTATTTGGATTTCATGTAATGGACATACACAAAATAGTCCAAATTGGTGAAGTGAAATGAAAAAATAACTTGTTTCAAAAAATTTTACAAAATAAATAACGGAAAAGTGGTGCGTGCATATGATTTCACCCCCTTTGCTATGAAGCCCCTAAATGCAACCAATTACCTTCAGGTGTCACATAATTTGTTAAATAAAGTCCACCTGTGTGCAATCTAAGTGTCACATGATCTGTCACATGATCTCAGTATATATACACCTGTTCTGAAAGGCCCCAGAGTCTGCAACACCACTAAGCAAGGGGCACCACCAAGCAAGCAGCACCATGAAGACCAAGGAGCTCTCCAAACAGGTCAGGGACAAAGTTGTGGAGAAGTACAGATCAGGGTTGGGTTATAAAAAAATATCAGAAACTTTGAACATCCCACAGAGCACCATTAAATCCATTATTAAAAAATTGAAAGAATAAGGCACCACAACAAACCTGCCAAGAGAGGGCCGCCCACCAAAACTCACGGACCAGGCAAGGAGGGCATTAATCAGAGGCAACAAAGAGACCAAAGATAACCCTGAAGGAGCTGCAAAGCTCCACAGCAGAGATTGGATTATCTGTCCATATGACCACTTTAAGCCGTACACTCCACAGAGCTGGGCTTTACGGAAGAGTGGCCAGAAAAAAAGCCATTGCTTAAAGAAAAGAATAAGCAAACACGTTTGGTGTTCGCCAAAAGGCATGTGGGAGACTCCCCAAACATATGGAAGAAGGTACTCTGGTCAGATGAGACTAAAATTGAGCTTTTTGGCCATCAAGGAAAACGCTATGTCTGGCACAAACCCAACACCACTCATCACCCCGAGAATACCATCTCCACAGTGAAGCATGGTGGTGGCAGCATCATGCTGTGGGGATGTTTTACATCAGCAGGGACTGGGAAACTGGTCAGAATTGAAGGAATGATGGATGGTGCTAAATACAGGGAAATTCTTGAGGGAAACCTGTTGGTCTTCCAGAGATTTGAGACTGGGACGGAGGTTCACCTTCCAGCAGGACAATGACCCTAAGCATACTGCTAAAGCAACACTCAAGTGGTTTAAGGGGAAACATTTAAATGTCTTGGAATGGCCTAGTCAAACCCCAGACCTCAATCCAATTGAGAATCTGTGGTATGACTTAAAGATTGCTGTACTCCAGCGGAACCCATCCAACTTGAAGGAGCTAGAGCAGTTTTGCCTTGAAGAATGGGCAAAAATCCCAGTGGCTAGATGTGCCAAGCTTATAGAGACATACCCCAAGGGACTTGCAGCTGTAATTGCTGCAAAAGGTGGCTCTACTAAGTATTGACTTGGGGGGGTGAATAGTTATGCACGCTCAAGTTGTTTTTTTGTCTTATTTCTTGTTTGTTTCACAATAAAAAATATTTTGCATCTTCAAAATGGTAGGCATGTTGTGTAAATCAAATGATACAAACCCCCCAAAAATCCATTTTAATTCCAGGTTGTAAGGCAACAAAATAGGAAAAATGCCAAGGGGGTGAATACATTCGCAAGCCACTGTAGATCAGTACGGACTAGTGGAACCTCGAGAGTTAATCATCTCTGAGAACGGGTTTGGTGTGTAAACAATGCAAAAGCATGAGGGCAAAAAAACGGAGGTGTTTTACATAATCTGTGGAATTAGAAACACATCGGGCGACTGACTGTCACCTGTATTCTTGGTTTGTAGAACAAAAGTGTACCTGCAACGCCAGCCCACTGTCCAAATGCCACTATACGGAAGCCATTGGCGTCCACCATCTTCTCGTAGTCGATGAGACGCACTTCCTAGAAAGACCAGAGGATGTGAATGAACTAGTGCTGGAAATTGCCAGGGACCTCACGATACGATCACGATACTTAGGTGCCGATACGATATGTATTGCGATTCGATACTGTGATTCGATGTTCCAAACATATTGCTCACCATATGTCTACTGCAGAGGGACAAGAGAGAGCATGAGAAAACGCGTTTCGATCAGTCATGGAAATAAAAGTGCTGAAAACAAATTGGCTCCCTATTTATAAAGAAGATGGAGAACAAGCTATAAAATGACAAATACTGGAGTTTTGGTGCAGGTACTGGCAACAAGCGCAAAAATAATATTGCAATACTTTCAAAACCATAGGATATATCGTCAAAAATAATATCCCAATATGTAACTGTATAAATGTTTCCCCCCCATCACTATGAATGGATGAGGCACAGCATGTGCATCCACACCATAATGTGAACATGCTTTATGTTTAGGCTAGGGAAGACTGTCTGGCTTAGTTTTATGGTCATATGTCAGCCTAATGCAGAGTTGTACTTTGATAGAGCAACAACAGCCTTACCTTTTTGAGCAGGTCATCCAGTAGTCCCATGTTAGCTTCCTGTGCTTTGATGGTGTGAGAGAAAAAGGCGTAGGTCTTTCTGGGATAGAGTTTCTCCTCCGGAGGCCTCTTGACGCCAATGATCAACGAGGCCTCCGAAATGTCCTCCGAAATTATGGCCCCCGCTTTCTCATAATACTGAAATGAAACATACAAAAAGGTCAAAATCATTTATAAGCTAGTTCAGAAAACCTTTTCCAATGCCAGTTGCCAACATCTAACCCAATTGTTACATGTCATTATATGCACTGTTTTGTTTTATTCAGTTGCGTAAAAAGTTTTATACAGCAGTCCTTTGATAATAAGCTACATGTCAAGGACTTTTATTTTAACTGTCATTTCTAACAATAATTTGTGACATGTAGTTTACTAGACATTGTGGAGGTCCTCCTATAGTAATCAGTGACATATCTCAGTGTTTTAACCTGCTAAACGGAAATCTCATTTATAGATCACATTGTGCAGTTTTTTTCTCCTATTTTTGCTGAACATAGGCCTACTTTGATCTCCAGCCATTGGACGTGTGCATGTTTACTCAACAGCAGTGATCTCCAGTCATTGGATGTGTGCATGTTTACGCAACGACAGTGATCTCCAGTCATTGGATGTGTGCATGTTTTACCCAACAACAGTGATAACTCACATTCTCGTGGATGGCTCTTCGGTTGGAGGGCTGGACGAGGACCTTGTGGCCAGCATGGACAATCTCTTTAACGTGGCGCGGAGCCAGCGGCGCCCGTCTCTCCCACACGTTGATGTCCTCACGCCGGATGGCCATGACGCTCTTGTGATGCTCATATCGCCGCTGGCCACAGAGGCATCTCCTCGTCCCTCTAGCCTGGTGTCTTAGGAGTTGCAACATGGCTATACCCCACTGCTTTAGACAAGAGTGAGAGGGATGAGCCACTCAACAATTCAGTGAGAAGTAAACTTACACAAACTGATCAGACAAAGTATGAGATTCACTGCATCCAAATAAAGGAGAGTTTCTAACAGAGGCCATGTAAAATGTCTGGTTTAGTCTGCTAGGAGGCGGGTTGCACAACAGCCAGCAGAAACACCTGGTTTAGTTTTGAGAGGCGAGAAGATTTGAATGACAGCCACACACACCTCCTACAAGATGGTTGTACCTGCAATGCTGACTGAATATTTTGTCACCCATCAAATTATTTGTCTGATTTCTGCAAGGCACTTTAACCACATTACATGATCTTTCAAAAGGTTTGATTGATAGATTAGACAATTACACAGGCCTATAGACAGCCACCTCACACCTGAGGGCTATGAAATTGGCAGACTGCACTTTTTGAGTAAGTAACCTACAGTAATCTAGCAAGCTAACACTACCGGCAGACAACATGGAGAGATAGTTATTACAATTGCATGATGGGAGTCAAAACGCACTGAAATGATAGTCATGCATTTTCAGATGTGTAATGAACAATAAACCCTTATTAAAACTATATATCTATATCGTCAACAGGCCTATCCGTACAACACGCTCACCGGCATAATGTCCATACGCACATTTAGACTAACGCGCTCCGGGTCGAACTCGACTGATAGTTAGCTAACGTTAACTAACTAAAGGTATTGGATACTGTAGTAAACATTGTGAGACAAGCTACACATAGCATATTTACTCACCTCGAATACTCGAGAAAAGTGTAAACAAATGACAAGTATATCTAACCAACCTTTCTATAATTAGCTACTTTCGCAAACAGATGTCCGATATGCAATGTGGCGGCGGTCTTTCTAGGTGCACTAAGGTAGCCTACACAGTGTCGTTCAGAGGTGACAAGAATATGGCGTGGATAGGATACACAGCACAGTGAATATTGCGATGTAGGCTGTGGCCTTCGGAATTTGTAGATATATATAATCCATCTAAGGTACGTCAGATGAGGTTATAATGACTGTAGCTATGCCTTACCAGTCAGTGTAATGGCGAGGGGAGGGGTAACTGCTGAATCTCCCAAGATTGCTCCCACCAATCCCATCGCAACGCAAAGGATCGGCCTCTTCTTGTCCTTCACGTAGCCGTCGCAGCATTATGACTACAGGCGGCATTTCCAAGAGGAATGATCTGTGCTATCTGGAATCCTTGGGAAGTCCCCCCCATTGAAGTTGAAATATAAAATGGTTGGGTTTAGGGGTAAGGACGTCCCAAGGATTGCAGATAGCACTGACCCAAGAGGAATCGTGCCTCGCTGATTAACTAGTCTTAATTAGTCTACAGAGTTTTCAAACCACCGTTTTGTCATATATTCTCTTTAAATGAACTCAGCGCTGAGAGACATATATATTATTGAATATCATTCCATTTATATAACAGATGGTAGGCCTTGCCCATGAAATGAAATATGAAAATAAATACATTTGTCAGTCGCTCTGGATAAGAGCGTCTGCTAAATGACTAAAATGTTAATGTTAATGTAATAAACAAGAATAGAATAGAATAGAGCATATCCTTTGTAGTCCGTTTGGTTAGAACGGAAATGAGTTTAGTTTCTGCCTATCCCCTTACATCCCCAGAAACCCAAGTGTTGAGGCACATGCTGGATAGAGAGCAATTTGGAGTTAAATGCCTTGCTTAAGGGCACAACAGCAGTGGTTTGTATGGGATCATTCACAGTCCACCTTTAGGGCTATATCTGGTAACAGACTGAGTCAGTGGCACTGACAGACAAAAATGTTTCACAATTCATGACACACTTGCCCACAAATGAAGTGGTAGCCTAGCCCTAGTCGTGTGTGTGTGTGTGTGACCTTTGTGTCGCATAGGGAAGGCTACATGTCATATCATTATCGAAAATACCATACAGACATGTCACATTCTCTCATGTTTGCTCAACACGAAAAAGAGAAACATTGGCCCATTCACTGATAGGCTTAATTGAATAATGCACCACCTTATTCCTAATTCTTCTTTCTAATTTGGTGAATATACTAATTGAAGAATAACCTACGATCCATAAACAAATTTAAGATCAGTTGCGTAGAATTAAAAGCTATAGCCTGGGAGCTCAAATCTGGACATACAGTGCATTCGGAAAGGATTCAGACCCCTTCACTTTTTCCACATGTTGTTACATTACAGCCTTATTCTAAAAAAAAAAATTTTTAAAAATTCCCCTCATCAATCTACACACAATGCCCTATAATGACAAAGCAAAAACAGGTTTAGACATTTTTGCAAATTTATAAAAAATACAAATATTACATTTACATAAGTATTCAGACGCTTTACACAGTACTTTGTTGAAGCACCTTTAGCAGCGATTACAGTCAAGTCCTGTTGGGTATGACGCTACAAGCTTGGCACACCTGTATTTGGGGAGTTTCTCCCATTCTTCTCTGCAGATCCTCTCAAGCTCTGTCAGGTTGGATGGGGAACGTCGCTGCACAGCTATTTTCAGGTCTCTCCAGAGATGTTCGATCAGGTTCAAGTCCGGGCTCTGGCTGGGCCACTCAAGGACATTCAGAGACTTGTCCCAAAGCCACTCCTGTGTTGTCTTAGCTGTGTGCTTAGGGTCTTTGTCCTGTTGGAAGGTGAACCTTCACCCCAGTTTGAGGTCCTGAGCACTCTGGGGTAGGTTGTCATCAAGGATCTCTGTACTTTGCTCCATTCATCTTTCCCTCGATCCTGACTAGTCTCCCAGTCCCTGCTGCTGAAAAACATCCCCACAGCATGATGCTGCCACCACCATGCTTCACCGTAGGTATGGTGCCAGGTTTCCTCCAGATGTGATGCTTGACATTAAGGCCAAAGACTTCCATCTTGGTTTCATCAGACCAGAGAATCTTGTTTCTCATAGTCTCAGAGTCCTTTAGGTGCCTTTTGGCAAACTCCAAGCAGGCTGTCATGTGCCTTTTACTGAGGAGTGGCTTCTGTAAAGGCCTGATTGGTGGAGTGCTGCAGAGATGGTTGTCCTTCTGGAAGGTTCTCCCATCTCCACAGAGGAACTCTGGAGCTCTGTCAGAGTGACCATCGGGTTCTTGGTCACCTCCCTGACCAAGGCCCTTCTACCCCGATTGCTCAGCTTGGCCAGGCGGGCAGCTCTAGGAAGAGTCTTGGTGGTTTCAAACTTCTTCCATTTAACAATGATGGAGGCTGCTGTGTTCTTGGGGACCTTCAATGCTGCATACATTTGTTGGTACCCCTTACCCAGATCTGTGCCTCGACACAATCCTGTCTCGGAGCTCTACGGACAATTCCTTCTACCTCATGGCTTAATTTTTGCTCTGACATGCACTGTCAACTGTGGGACTGTATACAGACAGGTGTGTGCCTTTCCAAATTATGTCCAATCAATTGAATTTACGACAGGTGGACTCCCATCAAGTTGTAGAAACGTCTCAAGGATGATCAATAGAAACAGGATGCACCTGAGCTCAACTTCGAGTCTCATAACAAATGGTCTGAATAGTTATGTAAATAAGGTATTTCTGTTTTGTTTAGTTTTTTATACATTGCAAAAATGTATAAAAACCTGTTTTCGGTTTGTCATTATGCGGTATTGTGTGTAGATTGATGAGGGGAAACAAATATTTAATCCATTTTAGAATAAGGCTGTAACGTAACAAAATATGGAAAAAGTCAAGGGGTCTGAATACTTTCCGAATCACTGTATACCTGAATGCTTGGAAGTCGTTTCATGTTGGAATCCTGAGACTCCATTCCTTTGGCTTGTTAGTGAGCGGCAAGGTCAGGTGATGTTGCCTCTCAGTGCACTGCAAATAGGAACTTTCCCCTAATAAAACAGCGTTTGACATTTTGCCAAGGTGTTCGCAGTTGACTCGTATTTGCAGAAGAATATTGCTTCATCGTAGCCTATTTGGCTATAAGTGTCAACAGGTAGACTCGTATTTATCAATACTGTCCACAAGAGGGGGTGGCTGTCCTAAAGATTTAGGCTTTAGTTTTCCTAGCCTAACGTTAAATGCCTAACATTGCATGCAAGCCTACATCCCTGAGGCTATAGAAGTTTTTTCCCTACATTTACAACTCACCATTATAGTAACATCCTTGGTCAAAGGCAAATAAATAAAAACCCAATCTTCGTTTTATAAAGAAAATAAAAAAACAGAAACTGATGATGATGATGATGATTATTATTATTATTATCAAAATACTTCCCCTCACCATCACGGGAATCGTTTGGCCCATGTATGTCACTTTCTAAATAATGGAATATTTGGAATACCTTTTTCTTAAACATGTCAGACACAATATGACATATACACAGTTTGATTTTATTGTCATTATTTTCTTTTCATAACTTACATTATTTTGTATGTGCACCTGCTCAACAATGTAGCCTGTAAGTGTCAAAGACGCTAGTTTTTTGCAAAACTTTCAGTGTTGGGGAAGCTACTTGGAAAATATAATTTACCAAGCTACCAATTACTTCACACTGGAAGAAGTTAAGCTACACTAAAGCTACCCTTAAGAAAAATATAGTTTACTTAACTTTGAAAAAGTAGTTCACTACGTCCAACCTACTTTGTGAAAAACTATCATATGTAAATCTGAAATGCATGTCATACACTACAAATTGCAAGAACAGATCACATTGGGGTCATATGTTAACAGAATGTGTAATTTAGCCTATTAAACACAAAAACGATGTTTCAAGTGAGAATTAAACCGGTCTGTAGCCAAAAAAAATAGGAAATTATTGCCTACTTCACCCATATTTTATTTTAGCAAAATATTAGTGTGTAGTTCCAGTAGTTAGCTACACCGCTATATGCCGAAAAAATTTTTTATTAACTACTTAAAACACTACCTAGATTTGAATTTAGTTCAACTACCACCAAGCTTATGCAAAATGTAGTTAACTAGTTGAACTACATGAAGTTCACTACTCCCCAACACTGAAAACTTTGCATATTCACAAATGTTGGCAAATCATGGAACTTTAGCAAGGGCATCATACAAAATGGGGTAGGCTACCACACTCATCACAACAAAAAATAATTTGTATATAGTCTTCAATTATTCTCTTAAATTATTAGTGTTACAATTTCAAATAAATATCGACATTTTACAGTAATCCTGAGATTTAAAGAAAACAACAGTATAATGACATTATCATGTAAAATTCAAGGAAAATACATACTAATAGAATGGTCCTGTAAGTCGCTCTGGATAAGAGCGTCTGCTAAATGACTAAAATGTAAATGTAAGTGTCCACAATATCCTGTGCGGTCTAAACTCGCATGCTTATTTTCAGATTTGGGCAAAACAGCGTAAAGGCGTATCGGCTAGCGTTTAAATTCCGGAACTTTTTAGTGAGTTTCGGCTGTGACGAGAGTGGCAGGGGATTTAGATGCAGAGAGATCATGTAGTTTTCTGATGTGCTTTTTCAGGTCAAAGTTCCGGCAGAATCCCTTGCCGCAAGTCGGGCACGTAAAGGGCTTCTTGTCATTGTGCGTGTGCATGTGGAACGTCAGGTTGTACACTTGGTGGAAGGCCTTGTTGCAGATGTTGCACTTGAACTGTTTCTCGCCGCTATGCGTCAATTTGTGGTTCTTGTAGTTGCCTTGAAGATTTAAAAAAAGAAAGTGTATGTCAACAATATTGTAAAGAGTCAGTGCCACAGTTATTTGTCAATTCCGTTTTAAGCCAAGTCATACTGATTTGATTCTGATTTGAATTGAGCAACATACATTTAGCTCTGAGCAGAATCAATATTCTATCCTCAAAGCAGAAAAAATCATATTATATCCAGATATTGCAAATAATTAATCACACAATAGAAATAGAACAAATCACATAATCCAAAACACTCGAATAGATTAACATTCTTTCTCACCTTTTTGATGAAATCCTTTGCCGCAGAACTCACAGATGAAGGGTTTGTAACCTGCATGGATTCGTGTGTGTGTGTTAAGAGTTGAACTCCGGTTGAATGCTTTTCCACACTGGTTGCATTTATGAGGCTTCTCCTGTGAAGGGCACATGTATAAATGTGATTTTAGAAACCTATTATTTGGGATCCAACGAAAACTGTACAGTAAAATTGGTAAATAAAATAAACTGGGCTATATACTTTTCAATAAGATTGTGTATATAGGCCTACAAGTAAACGTTAAAAATACTATACAGTTCAACACCAGGCCACAATATTAATATAGCCTAACATAACAATGATGGCATTGATGCGTTGTTCTATCACATTTTCCTATGATGTAGTCCTATTTTGTGGTTTTTATATAGTTTAAACGAATAGAACATCGTGTGATTATGAATGGCTTTGGGTATGATGATGATGATGATGATGATGATGATGATTGAATAGAATACCTGAGTATGAATAATTTTGTGGCGACAAAGGGTGCTTGCTTGTCGAAATCCCTTGCCGCATACTTTGCAGACGAATGGTCTCGCTCCGGTGTGCACGGGCATGTGGCGCGTTAAATTGTAGTGGGCATTGAACACCTGTGAATATAAATATATATATATTAATTATAAAATTAACGATTTTAAAATATCAAGCAGGCCCGTAAGGCAGAGACCACCACATGTACGAAATGTATGTTCTTACCTTTCCGCAAACCTCGCAGGTGAATACTTTGGGTTTGCCGCTTGGGCAAGCGCTGTTCAATTTGGAAGAGCCCTTGAATAGTTTGTCCGATAGAATCTGTGCACTCTCTTTCATGTAGTGATGAAGTTGAGTTTGGGAAATGTCTTTAAATGCAACTCCGGATGGGTATCTGTCTGTGCATTGAGCCACTTTATTTTTCTCCGCGAGGAAAGCTCTCTGGCGCGCATGTTGCAGCGGAGTGTTGAGAAAGTAGGAGGCCATGGGGTGGATGTTTACGATGCTTGCCGGGGATGGGCACACACTCTCCCCGCAGTTCAGGTAGCACACGGCCCCCATGGCATGAAAAGACGACTGGTTCACCACACGCGGTCGAAAGAGTTTGTATTGTCCCACCATGGTCCCACCATGGACAACATCTGGTTGTTCGTTCTTATAGTTCAAACCAATGCCCACCAACTCACTTGAATTATATGAGGAAGCCTCAAAGTGACTCGTATCTAATCCATTCATATTTAGTTTATGACCCGGTTCGTATGCCAGTGGCACGAAAGGTATCATGCAATGCAGTGATGATGAAGTCATGTTGAGCGGCTGCTTCGGGTCAGATTCAGGCCTACCCACCGGAATGTGATGGAACAGGTTGGGGAAAGGTATCGACTTTGGCTCGGGCGTCCTGGCCATAATCCGTTCGATCGAAAAAGCGAGAGGCTTGGTGGGGGTGATCATCTTTCCGCCTGCAGTCAAGTTTTCAGAAGCCGAGGGGGAGCCGAAAATTCCCGCTGAGTGGTAGAGCGCACTGTCCATGACTTTCAAAACAACACCTTTTGGAAAGCCGGCGTTGGAGCTCCTTTTGTAGATACCTTTGATTCCTCCTCACTGCCCGGCTAGAAAGGACATAATTCGGCGCACTCTGGGTCGACGCAAGCCCCCTCACTGTTCCCGTTTGAGTTGATTTTGGACAATCAGCACTTATGTCTAGCGGGACTGCTCAATATGTCGTATTGAGTCAATACCGCAGCCGAAACCTCACCAATCGTTACCATCTAAGAAGAAAAAGTAAAGTAGATAATTGCTCAATTCTCTTCCATCAATTCTCCACTTGTGGCCCCTCTACTACTGCTATGGGTGCGTGTGTCACCCGCGTCGCGAATGAGGTGTTCTTTAGTGGCCAGTCTTGTTCAACTGTAAAGCGTTTGGCAAATCTGAGGTCCCCTTGTGGCTTCATGTGACATCATTTGAAATCGCACAAGACGACAGGCGCTGTGTGGGGTCAGAGGATGTCAGCATTTGACATATCTTTTCACTCATCATATACAGTATGTGTGGTTACCTGCATGCTATTTTACGCATGCAACAATCTAAAATAATAGGCATTGGTTTTACGAATGGGTGATTGCAATATTGGCCTATCCATATTATGCTCAACCTAAGCTATTCCAGAAGGACATGTATTTAATAATAGATTCGAAAGTAGTAGAATTACACTCTCTATAGGCATACTATACCTCAATAGAACCTAAATCCAAATAAAACATTTGGTGTCCAAACCCTTGACGCATCTCGTTTCTAACCTAATGAACAAGTCTAATACCTCTATAGCAATCCACTAATAAGACAAACGACTATGAAGAACAGGTTACTATCTAATCATAATTATAGTCGATCATTCTTGATAAAAGGCTAAGATATAACGCAACACGCTGTGATCAAGGGCTTTTGAAGCTTATCTTAACTTATAGGCCTTTACATTTTGGCTACTGTATATAGACTTCAGTATTTACATAAAACACTAAGTTAATTTAAGTAGAACCATTCATTTTTTTAGGCAGTCTACCAGTATACACGAGGGAGCTCAAGGTGAGAACCATAGAGATCTTATTAAATTACAAATTATTCTAATTCCTAATTCTATGGTGAGAACGGTGTCCTATCTGTTATACCAAACCCACCAAAGCCGGTGTGACTGCGGGAGTGTGCACGCGGAGAGTGATGAGCTCCATAAGTGCCTCAAGGACTAGAGAGAGTTTGAGCAATCAGGAGAGGTGTACCCTACTATGTATCGGAGCAACTACTCTAGCAAATATACAGAAATTAAAGCTTGTACCCAGTTCCGGGCGAAGTCACATTGGTAATACGGTGGAACGTCTCATCTGGGCATATCCAGACGGATGCTCAATGACAATCATAACAACAAACAAGGTAAATATGCGCATTGATTCAAAATGTCTGCATTCAGTTACAGCAGTCTTTATTCAGACTTAGGTCTTGTTTGATTTATTTAAGTTGAAATGTAAAAATATAGGCTACCTGAAAAATGAATGATGAAGGAATTTCACCGACTATAATACATTTTACATTTTAGTCATTTAGCAGACGCTCTCATCCAGAGCGACTTATTGTTAGTGAGTGCATACATTTTTCATACTGGCCCCCCGTGGGAATCGAACCCACAACCCTGGCGTTGCAAGCGCCATACCTCTACCAACTGAGCTACAGCTATAAATAGGCTAATATACAATAATATATATTGACGTTGTTTTTTAATTACACCAAGTTTTGATATAAACTTGCGTTAATCCCTTGTGTTTTATTTTTCTTCAATTCTGAGTCTATGGCGTGAAGAGAATGCGATACTGCTCACTTCTATTGCAAGGATAATTTAGGTAAATCAATGAGGACGCAGCTCAGGGATAAATAATGATGCCTAATAATAGCCTACTAATAATAGGAAAATACTACTACTAATAATAATACTAAGACTACTACTAATAATACAAATACTACTACTAATAATAATACAAATACTACTACTACTAATAATAATACAAATACTACTACTAATAATAATACAAATAATAATAACAACAATAAGAATAATAACAGTCTAAGTATAGGCTATAAATGTTTTCAGCCTATAGGCCTACATGGTTTACCATTATCATTAGGCCTATTATTAATCTCAATGCATAAGTATTATTATAAATAGCATATATCATTAGGTATTATTTACCTGTCCTGTTAAGCTAAACGTTACTGAATCAATGCTCAAATAAATTACACTTCACCAATAGAATTTAAGTTTAGGCCTATATGCTGAAAGCCAAGTTATTATCAGATATGTAACGAAAATTAATAGGCCTAACTGCATGCATACCTTTCTTTTAATATGGGAAAGAATCGTTTATGTTGTGAAAATGCAATGCTCCGGACCGAAACTAGCCTATAGGCCTAATAAACATTTATAAAAATAAGCTCCTTCAGTAGCCTCCTATTAGGTTTATTTTGAAAATGAACCCATATTGCTTATAGTCCCTCCTATACTTTAGTAGTGTAGCCAAATAAATATTTTCTTATAAATATTTTTTGCAAAGAAATCATTGGACGTAGGCTAAGGCTTAAGCCTTCACACTGTGTAAATGGTAATACTGCCTCAATCATCAACTAATCCACCATTAACTACTGTGTAATTACATTCTGTCAGTAATTAATAACCTACATAAGGGGATATTCTGATTGGTTAACTCCACGGCAGGACGACGTGATGCTTGTGGAGACACAGATGGACAGCTGGACGGTGGGCGGAGGTTGCCTGATGCTCATTTCTCCCCATCACTTGCATTTCTTTTGAAAAGATGTCAACTAAACGAAAACACAATTTGCATAGTCTGCCCATGATAAAATTGAACAGATGATTAGTTGAAATGAGGTTGTCATGTCTCAAGAAATTCACCAGTTCTGAAATTCAGTTAATTTTGAGAACAAAACAAAATGGCTATTAGGCTTTAGTTAAAAATATATATATATATATTAAGCCAACACAAGACAGTCAATGTTGAGATCACGATGGAGTCTATACTAACAAAACTATAAACTGTTGGCAAATAGGTTGTCACAATTTGTAAGAACTTCACCATTTGTATATTAGGTCATGGTATATGATTTTTGAAGAACACAACTAAAATGTTTATATATTTTGAATTACTCAATTGTTTGTTTTTGTTGTGATTGAAGTCTTTTTTAACAAACAATGTATAGCTTTAAAATATGTATAGCTCCATTCATTAATTTGAGAGTAGTTACATTTCCCCAGCTCTGTCCATCACCTTAACAATCAAAGGGTCCTTATTACAGATTGGGCTGTTAATATAGTTTATGGAGAAATTCAGGACACCATGATTGCTTTAAAAACACTTTAATTCTAACACTTAGAACATTCACACCTGAATAAAAACAGGTGCACAGAATACAATAGAAATATATTTCATATATTTTTGCCCATTTGTTTTGTCTTTGAACTCCACTGACACAAACTCATTGAAGTATTACAGTTAAGACATCAATTCAGATTCAAAACATAATGCACACAATCAATCAGGTTTAGCCTATTGAACACAGCTTTGAATTTATAGTGTACAACTCTTGTGAAGGATAACACACTCAAACATAGCCTAAATACATTAAATGACAATGTAGCACTTTAGCCTATGCATTCCATTCATACAGTACAGCATAAACATATGGATATTGGCTGTATCATCTCTCTTTCAGGGAGCTTATGTAAGAACAACCCCAATGTCCTCATAAGCACCCTGAAATGTCCTCATAATGCACTTTGTACATTTACCACAGAATGGACCTGCAATTGGCAAGATCTCTGAAACCTGTTTCAATTGGCATGATTGTATCTAGGTAACCATAAGAGCACAACTTTTTTCTTTTTTCTTGGTCTACATCACTATTAAAATAAAGTACAAAGAAAGTAACAAACAAATTAAATAAACAAAACGGGAACTGCACTGAAGGCTACCAGTTGGTGACCACTGAGCTGTACTGACATCATATCATTATGGCTGGGAAGGTAGCCACTACTGGAGTAAGTGGGGGGGAGGGGTGAAGAGAGAGAGAGCGAGGGAACACAATGATGGATGTTTTCATCATAGACTTAAGTGTGTGTTCTTCAAGCCCTCCTTCTGTCGCACACACACACACTTTCCACACACACATAATCTCCACCCCTTCCATCTCCTGTACACATACGTGCACACTTCCCAATTCAGTCTATATGCGAGGGCCACCAGACTTGGCGGTATAGGGCGAAGTTCACCCGTCCTCCTCATCACTGTCCCTCATGGTGATGCCTTGGAGACCGTCGCCGGCCTTGACCGCCACGGTGGCCTCCTCCACGGTGAGGCGGTTGTAGACGGTCTCATAGCTCTTGTTGTTCAGGGTTCCATCCAGGACTCCTTGGAGTCGGAAGTCTCGGTATGTCTTCTGTGGGTGAAACCAAACAGAAAAACACACATCAGAGAACATGGAGGCTTCTCTCAATGGGAAACCGAGACTGAGTGTGAATGGTCAGAACAGAATAGACTGTCAGTGTTTGAATGGTGGAACAATAGCCTGTTGTGTGCTGAATAGTGGAGCTGAACAGATTTGGACAAAGGCAAGATTCAAGGCCACTGTGGTCTTCTTCAATAGGTCCATCCAAATTGAGCTCCAATGTCTGAGTGCACTCCATCTAGGTGTCAATAACTGTTCATATTTAAAATGTAAAGAGAAAATCCTTAAGTCTATCCTCTCCATTTTTTTATCTGATCAGGGAGTCATACTGAAACCAAGGTCTTTTTTTTTTTTTTTTTTTTTTTTACAGATGAGCCCTGAATTACAGAAAATACACACATCAATATAAGTACAAAATGCAAGCAGAAAGAAAAACATTGTCATAAAAAACAAACACATTCATCAGTAATAAAGTCCTCAATCAGCTTTCTGAATTACCCTAGAGGCACCAGAACATCAAATGTAAGAACATTTTGAAGATTGTTCCACAAATATGGTGCAAAAAAACTCAAATCTGATTTACCTAACTCAGTAGAGATCAAAGGAATTTCTACAGTTAACCATCCCTGAGACCGGGTGTGGTAACTCATATCTGTAAAGGTTAGTAATGATAGGTACAGTGGGAGTTTTTGTAAAAGGGCTTTATACAGTAAATGAAAACATAGCAATGTATCAACCTACGTGACATCAAAGAGGGCCAACCAACTTTCTGGTAGAGAATGCAGTGAGGAGTACTGGGGGGGGTGGGGGGGGGGGGGGGGGGGTCTCAACTTACTGCTCAGCATTAGAATAGTAGGATACACAAGGTGCAATTTCGAAATGTTGTTTTTGCATTAGCAGTTTTTCTCTTGTTATGTCAGTCACTAGCTAGGTTTCCATCCAATTGGCGACAGATTTTCATGCAAATATTAATTTAATATGCATAAAGAAAATATGCACATTTTCCCACCAGTGGTGTTTCCACCAAACAGAGTCAGTGCGTGATGAGGTACTGCACACAAAATGTAAATTTTCGCCTAAGTCTTCATGTCCGAATAAAAATCTAAAAATCAATGTGTTTCCATCGATTTTTCAACTCCACCAATAGTTTTGTCACAAAAACTGTTGCGTTAAATAGCAAATGTGCCTACTCAGGTCTTTGCACGTGCGCTGTTGCCAAGGGTTTACAAAACACCTGTCTTTCCATGACAAACTGACCAGGTGAATCCAGGTGAAAGCTATGATCCCTTATTGATGTCACTTGGTAAATCCACTTAAATCAGTGTAGATGAAGGGGAGGCGACAGGTTAAAGAAGGATTTTTAAGCCTTGAGACATGGATTGTGTACAGTCATGGTCAAAAGTTTTGAGAATGACACAAATACTAATTTTCACAAAGTCTGCTGCCTCAGTTTTGATTATGGCAATTTGCATATACTCCAGAATGTCATGAAGAGTGATCAGATGAATTGCAATTAATTGCAAAGTCCCTCTTTGCCATGAAAATGAACTTAATCCCCAAAAAACATTTCCACTGCATTTCAGCCCTGCCACAAAAGGACCAGCTGCCATCATGTCAGTGATTCTCTCATTAACGCAGGTGAGAATGTTGACGAGGACAAGGCTGGAGATCACTCTGTCATGCTGATTGAGTTAGAATAACAGACTGGAAGCTTTAAAAGGAGGGTGGTGCTTGAAATCATTGTTCTTCCTCTGTTAACCATGGTTACCTGCAAGGAAACACGTGCCGTCATCATTGCTTTGCACAAAAAGGGCTTCACAGTCAAGGATATTGCTGCTAGTAAGATTGCACCTCAATCAACCATTTATCGGATCATCAAGAACTTCAAGGAGAGAGGTTCAATTGTTTTGAAGAAGGCGTCAGGGCGCCCAAGAAAGTCCAGCAAGCACCAGGACCGTCTCCTAAAGTTGATTCAGCTGCGGGATCGGGGCACCACCAGTGCAGAGCTTGCTCAGGAATTGCAGCAGGCAGATGTGAGTGCATCTGCATGCACAGTGAGGCGAATACTTTTGGGAGGATGGCCTGGTGTGAAGAAGGGCAGCAAAGAAGCCACTTCTCTCCAGGAAAAACATCAGGGACAGACTGATATTCTGCAAAAGGTACAGGGATTGGACTGCTGAGGACTGGGGTAAAGTCATTTTCTCTGATGAATCCCCTTTCTGATTGTTTGGGGCATCCGGAAAACACCTTGTCCGGAGAAGACAAGGTGAGCGCTACCATCAGTCCTGTGTCATGCCAACAGTAAAGCATCCTGAGACCATTCATGTGTGGGGTTGCTTCTCAGCCAAGGGAGTGGGCTCACTCACAATTTTGCCTAAGAACACAGCCATGAATAAAGAATGGTACCAACACATCCTCCGACAGCAACTTCTCCCATCCATCCAAGAACAGTTTGGTGACGACCATTGCCTTTTCCAGCATGATGGAGCACCTTGCCATAAGGCAAAAGTGATAACTAAGTGGCTCGGGGAACAAAACATCGACTTTTTGGGTCCTTGGCCAGGAAACTCCCCAGACCTTAATCCCATTGAGAATTTGTGGTCGATCCTCAAGAGGCGGGTGGACAAACAAAAACCCACAAATTCGGACAAACTCCAAGCATTGATTATGCAAGAATGGGCTGCCATCAGTCAGGATGTGGCCCAGAAGTTAATTGACAGCATGCCAGGGCGGATTGCAGAGGTCTTGAAAAAGAAGGGTCAACACTGCATATTGACTCTTTGCATAAACTTAATGTAATTGTCAATAAAAGCCTTTGACACTTATGGAATGCTTGTAATTATACTTCAGTATACCATAGTAACATCTGACAAAAATATCTGATAACACTGAAGCAGCGAACTTTGTGAAGACCAATACTTGTGTCATTCTCAAAACTTTTGACCACGACTGTATATGTGCCATTCGAAGGGTGAATGGGCAAGACAAAATATTTAAGTGCCTTTGAACGGGGCATGGTAGTAGGTGCCAAGCACACCAGTTTGTGTCAAGAACTCCTGTGGGAAGCATTGGAGTCAACATGGGCCAGCATCCCTGTGGAACGCTTCCGATGCCTTGTAGAGTCCATGCCTCGAGGAATTGAGGCTGTTCTGAGGGCAAAACTGGGTGCAACTCAATATTTGGAAGGTGTTCCTAATGTTTGTACACATAGTGCCTTGGCTTCAGCCTGTTTAATCTGGCCCTGACTAGACTCAATGTTTGGAATCAGATACATAAAAATAAAGCATACAATTTCTCAAGTAATTATTAATATAATTATTCACAAAGCACATTATTCCATATGCCTCATGTTCAACATGAAAAATGACAGTCTCGATGAGGGCTACAGCTTACTGTGAATGTTGACAGTACACTCACACCACAACAATGCGCGTTACCTTGACGATCTTGATGAGTGTTTTCAGCTGGTACATGTGGAGCTGAAGGTCCAGTCTGTCTGTCAGCCACGCACACACTGCCTTCATGGAGCTGGTGTACCATTGCTGTGCGCGCACACACACACACACACACACACACACACACACACACACACACACACACACACACACACACACACACACAAAGTCAGCATATACATCTATTTTAACTGAGGTACACAGTAGATAAAGCAACATGTCAAGGTACAATTATTCTATACACTACATCTGTCATTAGGCAAAAAGGCCAATATGTGGTTGTAAGAATGAACCATGAAGTACCAGAAGATGAGTAACACTGCTATGTTAGCGAATGTAATGTAGGTAAGCTAGATGGCTAGGCATACGCTAACGGTTGTCAGGAATGTGTTAAGTGTTATTACAACAGGAAATAGCATACACTCATTCATACACATCACCCCTCTTGCACACACAAGCAAGCACGCACGCACGCACAAGCAAACATACACATAAAGTTGCTCTCATGGAATGTCATTCCTTTAGCAATACAGACAGACAACATTTTAGGTTTTTATTGTTTTATTGACATTGTCTTGTCGTTGTAATCATTGCTGATGCTTGTGGTGATCAAACAACTTCGCACGTTGGGATCAATAAATGACTTTACTCTATAGAAGTGCAATCTGAATTGTAAAATGCTCTGGGATGAGTTTGATGCATGGTTTACATTTCTGTTGGTGATCCACACTTTGATGCTATGTACATCTTATTCATTTGTTTATTGATATATTCAAACTGTTTATTGCTATATTTCCTTAAATCCCCTTTCAAATCACATTTTTAAAGACACTGTGGAACATTGCCCACAGGCCACTTTGTATAGAAGATTAATATTTTCACACAAGGTCAAAGGATTCAAAGGATAACAGTGTTCAAACTAAGCCATTATACATTCAAAAACGCCAATTACTGAAGAACACCTGAATGTGTGGGTTGGATGAGGTTCACGTCCTTGCTTTGAAATCAGAATGCATAACGATGTGTTTGTAAATGTCTTTGTAGTTCTATTACAAGGCCTCTCACACCTCTCTCCTGGCCACATGGAATGACAGAACATTTATTCTTCTATTCTTCTTTATGCAAATCATCTCATACAAGGTTCATTCAATGAAGTCACTGTTATAGTATAGTATACAGTGGCTTCAGAAAGTATTCACACCCCTTGACTTTTTCAAATTTCTGATGTGTTACAGCCTAAATATCAAATGGATTCAATTGAGATTTTGTGTCACTGGCCTACACACAATACCCCATAATGTCAATGGAATTATGTTTTTCAAATTTTTTACAAATCAATTAAAAATGAAAATCTGAAATGTCTTGAGTCAATAAGTATTCAACCCCTTTGTTATGGCAAGCCTAAATAACTTCAGGAGTAAAAATATGCTCTACAAGTCACATAATAAGTTGCAAGTGTTTAACATGATTTTTGAATGACTACCTCATCTCTGTAACCCACACATACAATTATCTTTATGGTCACTCAGTCGAGCAGTGAATTTCAAACAGATTCAACCACAAAGACCAGGGAGGTTTTCCAATGCCTCGCAAAGAAGGGCCCCTATTGGTAGATGGCAACAACAAAAACAAGCAATCATTGAATATCCCTTTGAGCATGGTGAAGTTAGTAATTACACTTTGGATGGTGTATCAATACACCCAGTCACTATAAAGATACAGGCGTCCTTCCTAACTCAGTTGCCGGAGAGGAAGGAAACCGCTCGGGGATTTCACCATGAGGCCAATGGTGACTTTAAAATAGTTACAGTTTAATGGCTGTGATAGGGAAAAACTGAAAATGGATCAAAGAAAATAGTAGTTACTCCACAATACTAACCTAATTGACAGAGTGAAGAGAAGGAAGCCTGTACACAATACAAATATTCCAAAACATGCATCCTGTTTGCAACAAGGCACTAATGTAATACTGCAAAAAAATTAACAAAGCAATTAACTTTTTGTCCTGAATACAAAGCATTGTATTTGCCCCAAACATAACACATTACTGAGTACCACTCTCCATATTTTCAATCATAGTAGTGGCTGCATCATGTTATGGGTATGCTTGTAATCGTTAAGGACTTGGGAGTTTTTCAGGGTAAAAAAAACTAAATGGACCAAGCACAAGCAAAATACTAGAGGAAAACCTGGTTCAGTCTGCTTTCCACCAGACACTGGGAGATTAATTCACCTTTCAGCAGGACAATAACCTAAAAACACAAGGCCAAATATACACTGGAGTTGCTTACCAAGAAGAAAATGAATGTTCTCGAGTGGCCGAGTAACAGTTTTGACTTAAATCTGCTTGAAAATCTATGGCAAGACATGAAAATGGTTGTCAATGATCAATAACCAATTTGACAGATCTTTAAGAATTTTGTAAAGAATAATTGTACAATATAATAATATTGTACAATTTAGGTGTGCAAAGCGCTTAGAGACTTACCCAGAAAGATTCACAGCTGTAATCTCTGCTAAAGGTGATTCTAACATGTATTAATTCAGTTGTGTGAATACTTACGTAAATTATATATTTCTGTATTTCATTTTCAATACATTTGCAAAACTCTAAAAATAAAAAAGGTTTTCACTTTGTCATTATGGGGCATTGTGTGTAGATGGGTGAGAAAAAAACAATTGAATCCATTTTGAATCCAGGCTGTAACAACAAAATGTGGAATAAGTCAAGGGGTATGAATACATTCTGAAGACACTGTAGATACATACGTAGATAGTATAGCATAGTTAGTATAGTATATGTGTATAGATAGTATAGGTGTATACAGTAGATAGTATAGTTGTATAGATAGGTGTATAGATAGTATAGATCTATAAATAGTACAGGTGTATACATTAGATAGTATAGATGTACATACAGTGGGGAAAAAAAGGATTTAGTCAGCCACCAATTGTGCAAGTTCTCCCACTTAAAAAGATGAGAGAGGCCTGTAATTTTCATCATAGGTACACGTCAACTATGACAGACAAATTGAGAAAAAAAATCCAGAAAATCACATTGTAGGATTTTTAATGAATTGATTTGCAAATTATGGTGGAAAATAAGTATTTGGTCACCTACAAACAAGCAAGATTTCTGGCTCTCACAGACCTGTAACTTCTTCTTTAAGAGGCTCCTGTGTCCTCCACTCGTTACCTGTATTAATGGCACCTGTTTGAACTTGTTATCAGTATAAAAGACACCTGTCCACAACCTCAAACAGTCACACTCCAAACTCCACTTGGCCAAGACCAAAGAGCTGTCAAAGGACACCAGAAACTAAATTGTAGACCTGCACCAGGCTGGGAAGACTGAATCTGCAATAGGTAAGCAGCTTGGTTTTAAGAAATCAACTGTGGGAGCAATTATTAGGAAATGGAAGACATACAAGACCCCTGATAATCTCCCTCGATCTGGGGCTCCACGCAAGATCTCACCCTGTGGGGTCAAAAGGATCACAAGAACGGTGAGCAAAAATCCCAGAACCACACGGGGGGACCTAGTGAATGACCTGCAGAGAGCTGGGACCAAAGTAACAAAGCCTACCATCAGTAACACACTACGCCGCCAGGGACTCAAATCCTGCAGTGCCAGACGTGTCCCCCTGCTTAAGCCAGTACATGTCCAGGCCCGTCTGAAGTTTGCTAGAGTGCATTTGGATAATCCAGAAGAGGATTGGGAGAATGTCATATGGTCAGATTAAACCAAAATAGAACTTTTTGGTAAAAACTCAACTCGTCGTGTTTGGAGGACAAAGAATGCTGAGTTGCATCCAAAGAACACCATACCTACGGTGAAGCATGGGGGTGGAAACATCATGCTTTGGGGCTGTTTTTCTGCAAAGGGACCAGGACGACTGATCCGTGTAAAGGAAAGAATGAATGGGGCCATGTATCGTGAGATTTTGAGTGAAAACCTCCTTCCACCAGCAAGGGCATTGAAGATGAAACGTGGCTGGGTCTTTCAGCATGACAATGATCCCAAACACACCGCCCGGGCAACGAAGGAGTGGCTTCGTAAGAAGCATTTCAAGGTTCTGGAGTGGCCTAGCCAGTCTCCAGATCTCAACCCCATAGAAAATCTTTGGAGGGAGTTGAAAGTCTGTGTTGCCCAGCGACAGCCCCAAAACATCACTGCTCTAGAGGAGATCTGCATGGAGGAATGGGCCAAAAGATAGATAGTATAGGTGTATACAGTAAATGGTATAGTTGTATAGATAGTATAGATGTATAGATAGAATAGGTGTATACAGTAGATAGTATAGGTGTATACAGTAGATAGTATAGGTGTATAGATAGTAAATGTGTATAGTTAGTATAGGTGTGTAGTTAGTGTAGGTGTATACAGTAGATAGTATACATTACCAGTTAAAAGTTTGGACACACCTACTCATTCAAGGGTATTTCTTTATGTTTACTATTTTCTACATTGTAGAATAATAGTGAAACATCAAAACTATGAAATAACCCATATGGAATCATGTAGTAACCAAAAAAGTGTTAAACAAATCAAAATATATTTTATATTTGAGATTCTTCAATAAGCCACCCTTTGCCTTAATGACAGCTTTGCACACTCTTGGCATTCTATCAACCAGCTTCACCTGGAATGCTTTTCCAACAGTCTTGAAGGAGTTCCCACATATGCTGAGCACTTGTTGGCTGCTTTTCCTTCACTCTGCGGTCCGACTCATCCCAAACCATCTCATTTTGGTTGAGGTCGGGGGATTGTGGAGGCCAGGTCATCTGATGCAGCACTCCATCACTCTCCTTCTTGGTAAAATAGCCATTTCACAGCCTGGAGGTGTATTGGGTCATTGTCCTGTAACAAAAAATTTTTATAGTCCCACTAAGCCCAAACCAGATGGGATGGCGTATCACCGTGAATCCTAAATAAATCACAGACAGTGTCACCAGCAAAGCACCCCCACACCATAACACCTCCTCCTCCATGCTTTACGGTGGGAAATACACATACGCAGATCATCCGTTCACCCACACCGCGTCTCAGCTGGAACCAAAAATCTCCAATTTGGACTCCAGACCAAAGGACACATTTCCACCGGTCTAATGTCCATTGCTCGTGTTTCTTGGCCCAAACAAGTCTCTTCAACTTGTTGGTGTCCTTTAGTAGTGGTTACTTTGCACCAATTAGACCATGAAGGCTTGATTCACACAGTCTCCTCTGAACAGTTGATGTTGAGATGTGTCCGTTACTTAAACTATGTGAAGCATTTATTTGGGCTGCAATTTCTGAGGCTGGTAACTCTGATGAACTTATCCTCTGCAGTAGAGGTAACTCTGGGTCTTCCATTCCTGTGGCGGTCCTCATGAGAGCCAGTTTCATCATAGCCATTGATGTTTTTTGCGACTGCACCTGAAGAAACTTTAAAAGTTCTTGAAATGTTCCGTATTGACTGACCTTCATGTCTTAAAGTAATGATGGACTGTCGTTTCTCTTTGCTTATTTGAGCTGTTCTTGCCATAATATGGACTTGGTCTTTTATCAAATAAGGCTATCTTCTGTATACCAACCCTACCGTGTCACAACACAACTGATTGGCTCAAACGCATTAAGAAGGAAAGAAATTCCACAAATTAACTTTTAACAAGGCACACCTGTTAATTGAAGTGCATTCCAGGTGACTACCTCATGAAGCTGGTTGAGAGAATGCCAAGAGTGTGCAAAGCTGTCATCAAGGCAAAGGGTGGTTACTTTGAAGAATCTCAAATGTAAAATTTATTTTGATTTGTTTAACACTCTTTTGGTTACTACATGATTCCATATGTCTTATTTCATAGTTTTGATGTCTTCACTATTTTTCTACAATGTAGAAAATAGTAAAAATAAAGAAAAACACTTGAATGAGTAGGTGTGTCCAAACCTTTGACTGGTACTGTAGGTGTATAGATAGTATACAGTGGCTTGCGAAAGTATTCACCCCCCTTGGCATTTTTCCTATTTTGTTGCCTTACACACTGGAATTAAAATGGATTTGTGGGCCAACATTCACCCAACTTATTGTGGCAAGCTTGTAGAAGGCTACCCAAAACGTTTGACCCAAATTAAACAATTTAAAAGGCAATGCTGCCAAATACTAATTGAGTGTATGTAAACTTCCGACCCACTGGGAATGTGATGAAAGAAATAAAAGCTTAAACAAATAATTCTCTCTACTATTTTTCTGACATTTCACATTCTTAAAATAAAGTGGTGATCCTAACTGACCTAAGACAGGTAATTTTTCCTAGGATTACACGTCAGGAATTGTGAAAAACTGAGTTTAAATGTATTTGGCTAAGGTGTATGTAAACTTCTGTAGTTTAGGTGTATAGATAGTATAGGTGTATAGTTAGTATAGTTGTATACAGTAGATAGTATAGGTGTATAGATAGTACAGCTGTATAGATAGTAAAGGTGTATACAGTAGATAGTATAGGTGTATAGATAGTATAGCTGTATAGATAGTATAGGTGTATAAAGTAGATAGTATAGGTGTATAGATAGTATAGGTGTATACAGTAGATAGTATAGGTGTTTAGATAGTATAGGTGTATAGGTAGTATAGGTGTATACAGTAGATAGTATAGGTGTATAGATAGTATAGGTGTATACAGTAGATAGTATAGGTGTATAGGTAGTATAGGTGTATACAGTAGATAGTATAGGTGTATAGATAGTATAGATGTATAAAGTAGATAGTATAGGTGTATACAGTAGATAGTATAGGTGTATAGATAGTAAAGGTGTATACAGTAGATAGTATAGGTGTATAGATAGTATAGGTGTATACAGTAGATAGTATAGATGTATAAAGTAGATAGTATAGGTGTATACAGTAGATAGTATAGGTGTATAGATAGTAAAGGTGTATACAGTAGATAGTATAGGTGTATAGATAGTATAGGTGTATACAGTAGATAGTATAGGTGTATACAGTAGATAGTATAGGTGTATAGATAGTATAGATGTATAAAGTAGATAGTATAGGTGTATAGATAGTAAAGGTGTATAGTTAGTATGGCTGTATACAGTAGATAGTACAGTGAGTGAAAAAAGTATTTGATCCCCTGCTGATTTTGTACGTTTGCCCACTGACAAAGAAATGATCAGTCAAATTTTAATGGTAGGTTTATTTGAACAGTGAGAGAAAGAATAACAAAAAAAATCAACAACAAAAAACATGTCAAAAATGTTATAAATTGATTTGCATTTTAATGAGGGAAATAAGTATTTGACCCCCTCTCAATCCGAAAGATTTCTGGCTCCCAGGTGTCTTTTATACAGGTAACGAGCTGAGATTAGGAGCACACTCTTAAAGGGAGTGCTCCTAATCTCAGCTTGTTACCTGTATAAAAAGACACGTGTCCACAGAAGCAATCAATCAATCAGATTCCAAACTCTCCACCATGGCCAAGACCAAAGAGCTCTCCAAGGATGTCAGGGACAAGATTGTAGACCTACACAAGGCTGGAATGGGCTACAAGACCATCGCCAAGCAGCTTGGTGAGAAGGTGACAACAGTTGGTGCGATTATTCGCAAATGGAAGAAACACAAAAGAACTGTCAATCTCCCTCGGCCTGGGGCTCCATGCAAGATCTCACCTCGTGGAGTTGCAATGATCATGAGAACGGTGAGGAATCAGCCCAGAACTACACGGGAGGATCTTGTCAATGATCTCAAGGCAGCTGGGACCATAGTCACCAAGAAAACAATTGGTAACACACTATGCCGTGAAGTACTGAAATGCTGCAGCGCCCGCAAGGTCCCCCTGCTCAAGAAAGCACATATACAGGGCTGTCTGAAGTTTGCCAATGAACATCTGAATGATTCAGAGGAGAACTGGGTGAAAGTGTTGTGGTCAGATGAGACCAAAATCGAGCTCTTTGGCATCAACTCAACTCGCCGTGTTTGGAGGAGGAATGCTGCCTATGACCCCAAGAACACCATCCCCACCGTCAAACATGGAGTTGGAAACATTATGCTTTGGGGGTGTTTTTCTGCTAAGGGGACAGGACAACTTCACCGCATCAAAGGGACGATGGACGGGGCCATGTACCGTCAAATCTTGGGTGAGAACCTCCTTCCCTCAGCCAGGGCATTGAAAATGGGTCGTGGATGGGTATTCCAGCATGACAATGACCCAAAACACACGGCAACAAAGGAGTGGCTCAATAAGAAGCACATTAAGGTCCTGGAGTGGCCTTGCCAGTCTCCAGACCTTAATCCCATAGAAAATATGTGGAGGGAGCTGAAGGTTTGAGTTGTCAAACGTCAGCCTCGAAACCTTAATGACTTGGAGAAGATCTGCAAAGAGGAGTGGAACAAAATCCCTCCTGAGATGTGTGCAAACCTGGTGGCCAACTACAAGAAACATCTGACCTCTGTGATTGCCAACAAGGGTTTTGCCACCAAGTACTAAGTCATGTTTTGCAGAGGGGTCAAATACTTATTTCCCTCATTAAAATGCAAATCAATTTATAACATTTTTGACATGAGTTTTTCTGGATTTTTTTGTTGTTATTCTGTCTCTCACTGTTCAAATAAACCTACCATTAAAATTAGAGACTGATCATGTCTTTGTCAGTGGGCAAACGTACAAAATCAGCAGGGGATCAAATACTTTTTTCCCCTCAATGTATAGGTGTATAGTTAGTATAGGTTTATAGTTAGTATAGGTGTATAGATAGTATAGGTGTATAGATAGTATAGGTGTATACAGTAGATAGTATAGGTAGTATAGGTGTATAGATAGTATAGGTGTATAGATAGTATAGGTGTATAGATAGTATAGGTGTATAGATAGTATAGGTGTATAGATAGTATAGGTGTATAGATAGTATAGGTGTATAGATAGTATAGGTGTATAGATAGTATAGGTGTATAGATAGTATAGGTGTATACAGTAGATAGTATAGGTGTATACAGTAGATAGTATAGGTGTATAGATAGTATAGGTGTATAGATAGTATAGGTGTATAGATAGTATAGGTGTATAGATAGTATAGGTGTATAGATAGTATAGATGTATAGATTGTATAGTATGTTCACATAGAAGTTAGCTGTACTTTTTGATGTTATGAGGCTTGGGAGTTTAGGGAACAAAAAACAACTTAATTCAATAACGGTACAGTACAATGTGTCAGTGCCTATTTGGAGAAAATATGCCTCACTCTATACAGCATTTATTTGAAGATGCAATACACTACATTGCCCTGTATTACCCTACAATTACCCTACAATACACTACAATCACCCTACATTACCCCTCACCATACATTACCCTTCAATACACTACAATTACCCTACATTACCCCACAATACACTACATTACCCTGCAATACCCTACATTGAGATCCCTGCTCATCGAACAGTAAAGAAATCACTAGTGGGATGTTGGTTCCCGAAAGCATCTGGTTTTCTATCAATGTCTTCTCAAGTGAGGACTTCTGACAAAGAGCATGACACATTAATTGGACGGAACACCATTGGACAGCCCGTCCTCTTGGATATTTTCAGCTCCTTTTTCAGAAGATTCCATCTCCTTTCACTTTGAATATCGTCAGCCTTGGCTCCACAACAGCCAATAGAAACATGAATACCTACAACGGGAGCCAGCCTACTCGATAATAGGCTAGCCGCCCCCTGGCACTCAACGGAGCAAGCATGAAATTGAAAATGGAGAAGCTCTTTAATTGAGCCGATTAGCGGAAGAGGGGGAAAACAGATGGAGGGAACGAGGGAGTGTTAACTAGACGAGTGAAAATGAGTGAACATCAGGTCGTTTGTTGTCATTAGTTCTCTTGGAACATTGTTAATGTGGTTTCGGAGCTGAGCATGTCTTTGTGGCGTTTCTGACGGCGTGACAGTAATGACGTACTTAAGTTTCCCTCGATTGATATGGTTAAGGGCAGAGTGGAGAAAGCAGGGCCACACATGGGGGCTGGCTGAAAGGGAGGGCTAGGTTGTGTGGTCCCGGTCGGAAGGCTTTATCAGTGGCTTAATCAGGGTGATTTGTCCCCTAATGTGGAGGACGAGAAGGACTGGCCGCCTGCAACGGCATGCATTAGCCTCTTCATCAACACAGAACGCTCAACCCTATCTTGGCTGCTCCGCATGTATAGACACACATACATACACACATGCACACGAACACCATACACATTATGCAAATACACTTCGAAACAGCGGACCAATACAAGCTGCTGGCGATGCAATGCAAGCACACACATGCTGTATATTTACATAGTACATGCGCTTACATTCACACATAAACAGACAGATTTGTGCACATGAACACATATGCAGAGATAATGACATTTCCCAACACACACAACCACAGGTGGCGACGCATAACTGTGTGTGTGTGTGGTGACATGGTGAGACCCTGCCGTTGTCTCTCCTCCTGGTGCATGACTATGGGTGTGTGGGGTCCATTAGGGCTGTGCCTGCCTCCTCCCTCTCCCATCTACCCCCCTCCCAGTCTCCCCAGCCCCAGCAAAGGCCCAACAAATCAACACTGCTTTACTCCAATCTCAGCTTCCACCTCAAGTTTAAAAACCCAATCTTAGAGGGAAGCAATGAAGAGGGGGGTGTGTGTGTGTGCATAGCATAATATGGATTGTGTATGTCTGTGTTCCTCACTGCATGCGTGTAAATGTGTATGTGTGTCTCATCTTGTGTTTGAAGGTACTCGGTAACACACTGCGACCGCAGGATAGATGGAGGAAGTAGGGGGGCACACACAGGGAGACACAACACCTCTCGGCATATTTCAATGGAAAACAGGTCAACAAAAACCCGGAGGAGGCTAGCTTGGGCCCTGGAAGTAGTCACAATGGGATTACCTCTCTGTCTCCCTCTCTCCCTCCCTCCAAAAGGCTTTATTGGCATGGGAAACATATATTTACATTGCCAAAGCAAGTGGAACAGACAATAAACAAAAGGGAAATAAACAAGAGGAATAAACAATGAGTAAACATTACACTCACAAAAGTTTTTAAAGAATATACACATTTCAAATGTTATATTATTGGCTATGTACAGTGTTGTAACAATGTGCAAATAGTTGAATAAATCAACATAAATGTATAGGTTGTATTTACAAGGTGTTTGTGCTCCACTGGCTGCCCTTTTCTCATGGCAACGGGCCACAGATCTTGCCGCTGTGTTTGCACACTGCCGTATTCCGCCTAACAGATATGGGAGTTTATCAATGTTTGATTTCTTTTCAAAATCGTTGTGGGCCTGTGTGATCTGTGGGAAATATGTGTCTCTAACGTGGTCATACATTTGGCAGGAGGTTAGGAAGTGTAGCTCAGTTTTCACCTCATTTTGTGGGCAGTGGGCACATATCCTGTCTTCTCTTGAGAGCCAGGTCTGCCTATGGCAGCGTCTCTCAATAGCAAGGCTATTCTCACTGAGTCTGTACATAGTCAAGGATTTTCTTAATTTGGGGTCAGTCACAGTGGTGAGGTATTCTGCTGCTGTGTACTCTCTGTTTAGCGCCAGATAGCATTCCAATTTGCTCAGTTTTTTTGTTCATTCTTTCCACTGTGTCAAATAGTTATCATTTTGCTTTCTCATAATTTGGTTGGGTCTAAATGTGTTTCTGTCCTGGGGCTCTCTTTGTGTTTGTGAACAGAGCCTCAGAACGAGCTGGCTGAGGCGACTCTTCTCTATGTTCATCTCTCTGTAGGTGAGGGCTTTGTGATGGAATGTGTGGGCATCGCTTCCTTTTAGGTGGTTGTAGAATTTAACAGCTCTTTTCTGGATTTTGATAACTAGCTGGTATAGTCCCAATTCTGCTCTGCATGCATTGTTTGGGGTTTTGGATTGTACACAAAATATATTTTTGCAGAATTCTGCATGCAGAGCATGAATTAGGTGTTTGTCTCATTTTGTGAATTCTTGGTTGGTGAGTGGACCCCAGACCTCACAACCATAGAGGGCAATCGGTTTGATAACTGATTCAAGTATTTGTAGTCAGATCCTAATTGGGAAGTTGAGTTTTATGTTCCTTTTGATGGCATAGAAGGCCCTTCTTGCCTTGTTTCTTAGATCGTTCACAGTCTTGTAGAAGTTACCTGTGGTGTTGATGTTAAGGCCGAGGTAGGTATAATTATTTGTGTGCTCTAGGGCAACAGTGTCTAGATAGAATTTGTATTTGTTGTCTTGGCTACTGGACCTTTTTTGTCTTACTGAGAATCACTGTCAGGGCCCAAGTCTGACAGAATCTGTGTAGAAAATCTAGGTGCTGCTGTAGGCCCTCCTTGGTTGGGGACAGAAGCATCAGATAATCTGCAAACAGTAGACATGTGATGTCTGAGTCCAGTAGGCAGAGGCCGGGTGCTGTAGACTGTTTTAGTGCCCTCGCCAATTCATTGATATACAGTGCCTTCGGAAAGTATTCAGACCCCTTGACTTTTTCCACATTTTGTTACGTTACAGCCTTATCCTAAAATTGATTAAATTGTTTTTTCCCCTCATCAATCTACACACAATACCCCATAATTACAAAGCAAAAACAGGTTTTTAAAAACTGAAATATTACATTACATTGGCAGCGATTACAGCATCAAGTCTTCTTGGGTATGATGCTACAAGCTTGACACACCTGTATTTGGGGCGTTTCTCCCATTCTACTCTGCAGATCCTCTCAAGCTCTGTCAGGTTGGATGGGGAGCGTTGCTGCACAGCTATTTTCAGGTCTCTCCAGAGATGTTCAATCCTGTTCAAGTCCGGGCTCTGGCTGGGCCACTCTAGGACATTGAGAGACTTGTCCTGAAGCCACTCCTACAATTGCCTTGGCTGTGTGCTTAGGGTTGTTGTCCTGTTGGAAGGTGAACCTTTGCCACAGTCTGAGGTCCTGAGCGCTCTGGAACAGGTTTTTATCTCTCTGTACTTTGCTATGTTCATCTTTGCCTCGATCCTGACTAGTCTCCCAGTCCCAGTCGCTGAAAAACATCCCCAGAGATTGATGCTGCCACCTCCATGCTTCACCGTAGGGATGGTGCCAGGTTTCCTCCAGACGTGACTCTTGGCATTCAGGCCAAAGAGTTCAATCTTGGTTTCATCAGACCAGAGAATCTTATCGGGGTGTCCTTTAGGTGCCTTTTGGCAAACTCCAAGCTGGCTATCATGTGCCTTTTACTGAGGAGTGGCTTCCATCTGGCCACTACCATAAAGGCCTGATTGGTGGAGTGCTGCAGAGATGGTTGTCCTACTGGAAGGTTATCTCCACAGATGAACTCTGGAGCTCTGTCAAAGTGACCATCAGGTCCTTGGTCACCTCCCTGACTAAGGCCCTTCTCCCCCGATTGCTCAGTTTGTCCGGGCGGTCAGCCCTAGGAAGAGTCATGCTGGTTCCAAACTTCTTCCATTTAAGAATGATGGCGGCCACTGTGTTCTTGGGGACGTTCAATGCTGCAGACATTTTTTGGCACCCTTCCCCAGATCTGTGCCTCGACAAAACCCTGTCTCGAAGCTCTATGGACAATTCCTTCGACCTCATGGCTTGGTTTTTGCCCTGACATGCACTGTCAACTGTGGGACCTTATACAGACAGGTGTGTGTCTTTCCAAATCATGTCCAATCAATTGAATTGACCACAGGTGGACTCCAATCAAGTTGTAGAAACATCTCAAGGATGATCAATGGTAACAGGATGCACCTGAGCTCAATTTTGAGTCTCATAGCAAAGGGTCTAAATACTTATGTAAATAAGGTATTTCTGTTTTTTATTTGTAATACATTTGCAAAAATGTCTAAAAACCTGTTTTCGCTTTGTCATTATGGGTTATTGTGCGTAGATTGCTGAGGAAAAAATATATTTAATACATTTTAGAAGAAGGCTGTATCGTAACAAAATGTGGAAAAAGTCAAGGGGTCTGAATACTTTCCGAAGGCACTGTATATGTTGAAGAGGATGAGACGGAGAGTGTGTGTATCTGTATCTATGAGTGAAAGGGAAACGGAGAGCGAGAAAGAGAGAGAGAGAGTGAGAGTGAGAGAGTGTGTGCCAGAGGGAGTGTGTGTGTGTCTTTGTGTCCACTTGTACATTTCGGTATTGATTGAATCCCTGACAAACTCCAGGCTGAGATCATTGTGACCCCTCACAGATACACTGTTTGACCTGACAATGATTCACCTCAGAATAGGAGAAATGTAGAAATACAGTGGGTGGGACTTTTTCTTCTTTATGCTGTGGTTTTCGTGCAACACCTTCATCTACAGATGTAGGATCTTAATTTGAGCCAGTTTGCTACAGCAGGAAAATAATCCTGCAGCAACAGGACATGCAAATGATTATGTGGATTATAATTAATGGCCATTTTTGTAGGGGTTTACACATTTTTTGTAAGGGAAAATCAAGTCTGAAATTTCATAGTGGATCCTACAAATTTCAGAAGCCTTTTCAAAACTTCAAATGCATTACAAGTTAAATATTTCCTACATTGCAGGAAAGTTCTCCTGCCACAGGGTGATCAAATTAAGATACTATATCTGTACTGTACTGGCATCACAAACCACAGAGATATTGTCCACTGGTTGCCATTCCTATTGTGTTCAGAAAAATGTATCAGTTATAATTTAGATGTTATCATAGTGTGGTAAGAATGACAGTTATCCACCCAATCTATGTACTTTGTATGATGAAAGCTGCTGAAAAAAGTGAAAACACACACAAGGTGCAAGTGTGAGTCCACGTCAAGGTCGACACACTCACGTCAAACAGCTTCTCGATGTACATCTCCTCATTGACGCGGTCTCGCATGATGTCCTGGTTCTGCCGCACAAACGTTATATAGGTATCAGCCAGGTCCATACCTGGCTTCTGAGAGCAGAGAGAGGGACAGGGAGAAGAAGGGGAGAGATGGGAAAACAGAAGGAGGGAGATAGAAAGGGTTAAACATGGGGAGTGTAATAGGAGATAGATGGGGTTAAACATGGGGAGTGTAATAGGAGATAGATGGGGTTAAACATGGGGAGTGTAATAGGAGATAGATGGGGTTAAACATGGGGAGTGTAATAGGAGATAGATGGGGTTAAACATGGGGAGTGTAATAGGAGATAGATGGGGTTAAACATGGGGAGTGTAATAGGAGATAGATGGGGTTAAACATGGGGAGTGTAATAGGAGATAGATGGGGTTAAACATGGGGAGTGTAATAGGAGATAGATGGGGTTAAACATGGGGAGTGTAATAGGAGATAGATGGGGTTAAACATGGGGAGTGTAATAGGAGATAGATGGGGGTTAAACATGGGGAGTGTAATAGGAGATAGATGGGGTTAAACATGGGGAGTGTAATAGGAGATAGATGGGGTTAAACATGGGGAGTGTAATAGGAGATAGATGGGGTTAAACATGGGGAGTGTAATAGGAGATAGATGGGGTTAAACATGGGGAGTGTAATAGGAGATAGATGGGGTTAAACATGGGGAGTGTAATAGGAGATAGATGGGGTTAAACATGGGGAGTGTAATAGGAGATAGATGGGGTTAAACATGGGGAGTGTAATAGGAGATAGATGGGGTTAAACATGGGGAGTGTAATAGGAGATAGATGGGGTTAAACATGGGGAGTGTAATAGGAGATAGATGGGGTTAAACATGGGGAGTGTAATAGGAGATAGATGGGGTTAAACATGGGGAGTGTAATAGGAGATAGATGGGGTTAAACATGGGGAGTGTAATAGGAGATAGATGGGGTTAAACATGGGGAGTGTAATAGGAGATAGATGGGGTTAAACATGGGGAGTGTAATAGGAGATAGATGGGGTTAAACATGGGGAGTGTAATAGGAGATAGATGGGGTTAAACATGGGGAGTGTAATAGGTAAGTTGAGTTGAGAAATACACTATTTTTAGTCCTTAACACCTCGTCAGAGAAGGTCCATATTCATTGCCTTAAAAGTTTTATTTTCGTTGGAAAACATGGACACTGAATTTTAACTGTTGCATGCTAACAAATCCCCTTCTCTTCGAGACATGTAAAAAAATATATTTAAAAAAAACACTCTGCACACTCGCTGTCAGAATAACAAGCGGTGGAGCTGTTACCAGCTAAACATTTAGTGAATGTCAAAGCAATCGTTTCGCCAGAGGAGAGAGGCCAGAGGCAGAAAAGAGGGTTAGCCCTCTTCCATTCACACTCTCTGTGTCAGTGGGAGATTACACTGCAATGCTATTGTAATTGCTTTGACATCTTTCACACCCATTTCTCGGGGCCTTAGAAGGCCCCTGGGGCCTGATGTCCTGCTACGGTTCTGAACACGGCACACCAACTCCCCTGTGGAAAACAAGGAAACAGCTATGTGCTGATAAAAAAAAACCTGAGCACGGAAAACCCCTTCTCCTGATGTTTTTCCACAGAGACGGAAGAGAGGACTGTGATTACAAACTGTCATTACGACAACATTTACATTTACATTTACGTCATTTAGCAGACGCTCTTATCCAGAGCGACTTACAAATAGGTGCATTCACCTTATAGCCAGTGGGATAACCACTTTACAATTTTTTTTATTTTATTTATTTTTTCTGAAGAGGAAGGTGGGTAACTGACCCACTGGGGTGATTGGCCTTTGTGTGTGTGGCCTTCCTTACCTGAGGTTGAGGTAGTCATTAGAGCTGGGAGCATGTAAACAGGTGCCCCCGCTCCCTAGTTTGCATTGACGTAACGGAGGTGACGCTGCCTTAACGGAGGTGACTCTGACGTGATGGGAATGACCCTGATGAGTAAGAAGTGGTTGTGACCCTGACTCACTGTCGTGTAATTACTCAAAAAATAACGACTTTCAAACTTGGTGTAGTTGTCACCCACTGTCTAGGTCACAGTCAGGATTTGTGTGAACTTCATAAGATGTAATTCTAATTCAATTCATGGCCCTACACTGATAAGCCATAACCAATGTAAAGAAACACATATTATGTGACAAAACATCACCGGTTCAATAAAAACGTAAATCAAACTCTGCACAAATACAACTAATTTCAAACCAGGGAAGCATCAAATCAAATCAAATCCTGATATCCTGTGTCTTTCAAAGAAATATGTTGTTCACTCATTGCCACGTAACTGAACTCATTGTGCTTGACTGAAGGGCTCAGTGTTAGTTGCCTAGCAGCATAACAGCCATCCTAAAATGTGTTCAAAATAAACTCTGATTGACTCTCATATTTCCCTCAACACATTACCTCTATAATACAAATACTACAGAAATAAACCTGAAACGATGGGTAGAGCTTCTTTATAGATCATGCAGTACACATATTTCTTTTAAAATCCATGCTGTTCCTAAATGCATAAAATAAGGCATCAATACAAAGTGTAGAAATGTGTTACTCACAACGAAATGTATTTAATATAAAATATATATAATACAAAGTGACATGAATGTATTCAATCGAAGGTTACATGCAGTTCCCAATAATTAATATGGACCTTTGATGACCTGCACCTCAGTGTCATGGGGGTACAGTAAGGGGGACCCTGCTACAGGGATGTTAGGGTGAGGGGGTTGAGCTGGGGATAGGGTCAGGGGGGTTTGGGCCTGATGATGATTGACAGGGCTGTCAGGAAACTGTAATCCAGTGGGTGGAGACGTTGAATCCATCACTTCCTGAGCTGCAGTGAGTGACAGTATGGACTGGACGAGTGTGGGGTGGTGTGTGTGTGTGGGGTGGTGTGTGTGTGTATGTCAGGATCATTGGCAATATATCACTGTCCCTGTTGTCACAAGGGCATCAATCCCCCCCCCCCCCCCACCACACTACCTCACAACCCCCAAGGCAGAGCCCTCTCCGTTACTCTCTTCCCCCCACCCTCTTCCTCTCTCTCTCTTCTTCAATGACAAGGTGACAAAGCAGTGTGACAGGGAGGCATGCGAAAGAGATAGAGAAAGAGATGGAGGCATGGAGAAAGAGATAGAGAAAGAGATGGAGGCATGGAGAAAGAGATAGAGAAAGAGATGGAGGCATGGAGAAAGAGATAGAGAAAGAGATGGAGGCATGGAGAAAGAGTTGGAGGCATGGAGAAAGAGATGGAGGCATGGAGAAAGAGATGGAGGCATGGAGAAAGAGTTGGAGGCATGGAGAAAGAGATGGAGGCATGGAGAAAGAGTTGGAGGCATGGAGAAAGAGATGGAGGCACGAAGAAAGAGATAGAGAAAGAGATGGAGGCATGGACCAGGTTCCAACACTACTACACTCCAGATTGGGGCCTCGCACAGAATACACACCGGCTGCCCTCTGTCACGCTCTGCCCTCTTTCAAAGAATCAACCTCAGTTCTGTACTTGACTTGTAGCCAAACATGCTAGACACACAACCGCACACACACAGGCTATTCCAGACTGTCAACAATCTATTGTTACATCGAATTATGTCAAAAGGAGGCAGATGGAAAAAGGTGCGTGTGTGGTGGTGAAGGAGTTGCCGGAGGTGGTGGTGGAGTTGGTGGTGGTGGTTGAGTTGCAGAGTGGTTGACTACTTTGAGAATAAATGTACTTTCTATGCCTGTGATATGTGGTTGTCTCACCTAGCTATCTTAAGATGAATGCACTAACTTTAAGTCGCTCTGGATAAGAGCGTTTGCTAAATGACTAAAATATAAAAATGTGGTGGGGTGTTGGTGGTGGTGGAGGTGGTGGTAGTTTAGTGGTGGTGGTAGTGGTTTAGTGGTGGTGGGGGTGTAGTGGTGGGTTGGTAGTGTGGGGCAGCAATGACTGGTTAACCTGAGGGGGATAAGCCCTGAAAGCTGTGGAGATAGAGAGAGCGAGGTTGCTGCTAATTATACACTGCTGCCAGTCTGGTTTCCTGCCCTGGATCTGTTTCCCCCAGGTGCAGCTTGGTGTGTATATGTGTGTGTGTGTGTGTGTGCGTGTGTGGGGGGGATCTTAACCTTTCGTGACAAGGACCCAAAATAGTTTTCTGCTAAATGCCCCAGCGACACAACCCTCCTCCACTCCCCCTTCTCTTTAGCTCACCTGTAAGAGGGGCTTAGCAGCTTTCGGTTCCCTCCACACAAAAGCGCAAGGTGGTTACATTATAATTTCAGGTGAAGGGAGGAGGAGGAGGAGGAGGAGGAGGAGGAGGAGGAGGAGGAGGAGGAGGAGAGGAGATTTGGCAGGCTCAGAGCTCTGGGAACCAGTGTCAATAGGATACGTGGGATTGGCTGAGTCAAGGACAGGTGGGAGGGGGAGGTTTGATGAGAAGGACAAAGGCTTGGCTGGCTTTACTGTCCTACTCAGGGATGCTGAAAAGGGTGTCAGAGTGTGCTTGGTTATGATAAAGTGAAACCACCTCTTGCTTTGGGTTAAAAGTAGGATTTGTGGGTCAAAACAGGCCTCCCTAACCAGAAATTGAGCTCTGCCTACTGGTGAGTGGACTGAATCCTTCCCACTAGACCAACAGGGCAAACCTTTCGATGGCTTAAGAACACGAGTATGTCACAATGAAGTGGCTAAACTGACCAAGTAATGACACCCTCGCCCTTCTTTCACATTTAGTGAATCAGAGATTTAGCCTTGCAATCCCTGACCAATGGAGAGTCGGCACAATGTGCCTGTCCAGAGCGCGAATTATACCGTGACATTCGGGGGTGTTTTATGTGCCTAATAGTAAAGAAATGTCATTTAACTGTAATAAAGTATTACCTTTTAATTTGGCATGAACACAACTAGTCATGATGTTTTCATCTTGTTGTCAAACAAATCACTTCAAAAAGTAGGCTACCTGCGCATGTTGGTCCACTCCAAAATAATTCACTGTGCACTCGCGCCATTGGATGAATGGAAAGAGACATCTGTTCCAAAACACTAAAAAGTGTAATGCCATTCTGGGATTGTCATTGGGTCTACACTTGTCTTGCTGACAAATGTACCTTTTTTGTAGAAAGAAAAGCTGGGACACCTGAAAAGGGGCTGAGATACGGGACTGTCCCGGGATGAAAAGTGCAGCCACACGGAAAAAATATTTACCACTCTAGCAGTACAAATGGCATTTTAAACAAATAGGAGAACAGTTAAATTAGCATTATTTAGAGTCTCCCCCCCAAAGTTTGACTTTGTTGCATTTAGGGGGACTCATGTCTCATTTAGGGGGTCTGAGATCCCCCTGGGCACCCCGTAATTCAGGATGGTGTTATTGCGTTTCTCTTTGGGTAATTAGAGGGCTTCCTCATCACTTTATTTGTCATCTTTCTGTTGGCTGATTCAGAGCTCCTGCTTCCTGCCTTGGCGCTGTCACTCAATAGTGTTGCTGCGGCATGTAGTGACCGTCCACGACTGACACCTTGGCAAATCACTCAAAAACGTTTTCATTAGCCAACGGTGCCAATAATTAGTCCTGCACGCCATCTCAACCTCAAACGCTCTGACACACAACGGTGCTTCAAGGCGAAATGTTAAAATATTTCACCCACGTTTAACATCAGCGTCTGATGATAAACCTCTAACAAATATGATCTTGCTCAATGCCAGCTTTCTTCAGAAAGCTGTTTCTTTTAGATGGAAATATGTGTGAAAACAAACACATTCATATGAGCAAGTAAGACATCGTTAGAAATGAAGGAGAAATAATACTCACAGGCACATCCACATACTTGGCAGCCGCTTTCACCTTTGAGGCAAAGGAAAGATACAAAAAAGTTCAACTGAGCAGATACGGTTACAACAAATTACATCTTGCTTTTCTTAGCACTGAATGCAATGGGTCCACATTCTCCGGCGTGGAACAAAAAAGCTTACCGTGAAAGATAGGATAGAAGAAAAGAATGTCCCTTCATCATATCTGGAGAGCTTGGAGAGAACACCGTCTAAAACTCCAGCAAACTGCCAGGGGAAAGAAGACAATCAGACATGTTAGTTGCCATTTGTAAAGGAAGGTGGGGTATACTGTCTGAATTACTTTCTTGTCTTCACATTTTTTATTGTATGCGTTCCAGTCTTCTTTGGTTATAACATATTCTATCATATTTTGCATAGAATATGAGAATAATTAGCAGGTGTGATATAACTGGGTTACATCACACCTTAGTTCTATTTGACTAAGAAAGTGTTTCTTAATAAAATAGGCATTGGATTTGAGGTGGAGAAGAGCTGACATATACAGTATCTATATGCAGGATTAGGGTTGCAAAGTGAGGGTATATTACTGGAAACTTTTGACGTTTACCAGTAAACTACCAGGTATCTATTTTGGAATCTTTCAAGGATTTTATGTAAACTATCACAAGACATCTGGTGGCCCTTTTATATACTTCAGATTATCACAGGTGTCTGTAATAATC